AATCTGAAACTTCCTTGCTCTTCAAGCAGAGAAGTGGGGCTGAAGTCAGCAGAGTAGGACTAAGCATGACCTGGTCATAGTTGTGGCTTTGCTCTGAAGGTGGCTTTGCAACACCAAACAGAGTTGACAATTCTTGCTAAATTTATTGTTGTTTTTAAAAACCTGCTACTCTCCGAAAGTTTTGGAGCTTGGAAAAAATCAACTGTTGAAGTGCTTGCTAGCTGGCAGTAAGTGCCTCACAAAGAACTTATCCTAAAGGGGTGTCAGGTAAGGTTTGTCTTAGGGGGTACAGTTTGCTGCCTGGTAATGGCCGCTGGCTGTTCCTTGTCCTTAAAGTGCTCCTGAAGGGCTTTGCTCTGGTCCTCTTAGGATTTGTTTGGTACCCTCTGGGTGTCAAACACCAAAGGCCCAAATGCCAAGGTAAGAATTTAGCAAGTTCTAAATTTTTTTCCTTGCCTAATAGAAGACAAAAGTCCTCACTCAGGAAAGCTGAGACATGAAGTATGTGGAAAATAGGGGCCAGCCCCAAAAATAAGCAAAAAGATTTTTTCCTGAGAGGTGGAATTTTTTTGTCTTTTAATACTTGTCTGAGCTGGTGTGGTTTATCCAAATGCAGTTTCAGGTGCTGCTGTTTTATATTGTGGTGCTTAAAAACACTGAAGCTTAAAAAGTAGATCCTGTTAGGTTAATGAGCCTGACTGGCTGTCTCCCAGCCGTGCAGAGCTGCTGTGCAGCCTGGCTGCCAGACCTTCACTGCAGTGCTCTGCTGCCTTGGTGCTGCCTCAGGAGCTCTGCACTGATGCTCTGAGCCTGTCAGCAGACCCTGCATCTCACAGATGGCTAAAGGCAGCTTCCAGGGAGATGGCACTGGGTGTTTGTCCCAAGGTGCCACTCAGGTTCTTCTGAGCAAGGCTTTGGGCTGGCTAGTGACACTGAGTGCCCAGTTGTGCCATTTGGGACACTCGTTGCTGCTCTGCCTCCACATGGCACGTAACAGAGGTGATTTTAGCTTTTGTAGTTCAGACAGAGTTTTGTAGTTTACACAGGATTTACCCAGCTTGCTCCGAGTCAGTCCTGGAAGGCAGGAGCACATCAGTGCTGGGGGCATGCAGGATGGGCTGAAGGAGAAGGAGCAGGGAATGGGGTCAGCAAAATGGACTCTTGGAATCAGACAGGGAACCTGAGATGGGAAGGAGAACATTGCTTTTTACAGCCTTTTCTCAATGCTTCAGGGTTGTTCTTACAGCAAAGATGTCATTTAGGAAAACCGTAACTCAGTGATACCCAAATGCTAGAGATGCTCTGTAAATGAGCAGAGCCATGTACTGATTCAGTGGATGAAAAATGGAGCTTGTGGCATTTGCAGTGAGGCTGGTGGGTGCTGGAAACCAAGTGTTTTCTGCCTGGTTCCTAAAGGGATTGTTTGAGTGGTGATTTCATTCTGGTAGAGCTCAGTTCATTTTAAAGCTCTCAGGTAATGGAACTGGTGGCAGGTCCTTCTGGGAGTAAGGCTGGAGTTGCTGTTGTTCAAACATGCAATGTTAATTTAGGCACTGTATACTCATTTTGGGACTTTGCCTAGCTTGGTGCCTTAGTGGATGGTGTGGTTCTAGAGGAGCTGCTTAGTGTTGGGTACTGTGTTTTTTCCTCCTGGGAGGAGATTGTGTGTAGGGACAGTTGTTTGTAGGTGGGATGTATGTTCCCCTCTCCCTCCCTCCCTGGCCTGGTGTAAAATTAGTAAGATGCTAATCCATGTTTAGCCTTAAAAGCAGCAAATTTGAAATCAGTAGATAACCCAAAGCTTTTCTTCAAGTCCTTAATGCCAGAGAGTTGTTATTTGTTTGTTTGGAGTTTTTATGTGTGTGTCATTACTTGGGGTTTTGTTGTGTCTTCTTCCTGTGCGGGACCCTCTGAGAGGAAGTTGATTCTTTGACCTTAGTTTACATCTGTGTGAAATGACGTGGAGGCTTGGGTTCCACAGTGGGATCTGTGCTGGTGGCAGTTCTGTGTGTGGGTGGCTTGATGGAGAGAGGTGGATGAAGTCAGAGTTAGGATCAAGAGCTGAATTCTGTCTCTGTTTGGTTCAGCACTATGTGGTGGCAGAGCCACACCAGCTAGAGCAACTCAGGTGTGCTTTGTCTTCCTGTCCTAACCTGGCATTTGTTCAAATGCATGTTCAGAATTTGGTGTTTGTTAGTCAGAACAAACTTATTGGCATCTTACAGGGCTGTCTTTAGGGTGTGCAGACATGAGTCCTGTTTAAGAGCAGCCAGAACCTGGGAGTTTTGTTCTCCTGGCACCTTTTTGATAGTAGAAGTATCAAATATTACAAAAAATTGAGCAAAGTAAAGCTAGGCCAGGACAGAACATGATATTCTTAGTGCAGGATGAGAGGGTAGGAGAAATCTTGTAAAAGGGCTGATGCTGGGGCCCTGAACAATTGAATTATGTCAGAGTATTGTTGGATTGGAGCAGTGGTGATGGAGCATGCAGATGAAATATTCTGATATGTAAGGTGGAGCATTTGTATGCTATTCTACTTTTTTTAGTCAAGGGAAATAAAATACGTCTGAAGCCCTTTAAAGGAAATGTCTGTTTACTTGACCTGGTACATGGAAATGCTTTGTCTTCATTTGCAGCTTCTGTGGAGAAGGCAGGGTTTTCTGAGAAGCAGAAGTAGAGTTTTCCCTTCTACCAAAATAGGGTTTTGTTCCTTGCTTTGGTACACCATGTCTTTATCACTGTCCCTGTATGGTACTTGGTGTTGTGTAGAAAAACTGAAAAGACAAGACTGTAATGAAACCCTGTAGGTAAATAACAGTTTTGAAACTGCAGAGGAGATGAGAAGTTCTAAAGCTTCAGGCTGAAGGTGGATCTCTTCTACCTTGCAATAGAAAAGATTTTTACTCTGTATTTAATATTAAAAAATAGTGTCAAGTGTTTTCCCAATTAGTTAATTTCTTGTTCTGTTCTGAAATGTTTTCAGTGACAGCACATAGTATAAACATTCCCCAACCTTTATTGTGAGGATGTTTTCTGCTGGTCCCTCACAGTGCTGTGTTTGTGGGTGGATTTCTGCTTCTCCCTGTTCTTCTTGGGTTGTTTATTTAATCACACCATGCACATATTCTTAGCTGAAAGGAAGATGGGAGGATTTTTGCATTTGAAACTTTTAACTGCGTGAAAGACCTAATTTTGGGGAGAGATGTGTGGGGGAGAGTAGTTTTCCTATTTTGACTTTCTTCTTAGCAAATATTTCATAGTGTTAGGAGGAACCACGACCAGCTGTTCATTATTTCACTTGGAGGAGATTTTTTTCAGTCAGTCTGAGCAGTTGGGATTTTGCATATGTTGGGTGAGCCAGGAATCCTTGCAGAGCTCTGGAGTTTGCCTTTCCAGGGGTGAGAGCTGTCGCTGGGCTCCTGAGCAGCGCAGCGGTTCCACTGGCCTGCCTCAGCAAGAACACACATGGCAAGTCCTCAGATGAACCACAGCAGGCCTGAAGTACCAGTGTAGGTACAGAGAGCGGTGCTGGGCAGAGGACCCTGGCAAGGCAGGGTTCCTGAGCACCGGGGGGCAAACTTGAAGCTGCTTACACCAGTTTGCCCAACTGCAGAGAGCAGCCCGTGTGAGTGTGGCTGGAGAAAACACTGCTGAGGAGCAGATGGGCAGTGCTGCTGGACTGTCCTGCTCCTGGCGTCAGAGCCACTTTGGTCTCGAGCTGGAAGTCCTCCCTTTCAGCTTGATGTTCTCAGATTTGCAGGAGGAGGGGAGAGTGGCTGCAAAAGAGCAGAGGCAGCCTTTAGAGGTGCCCTTGAGATGTGTGGTTGGGAATTGCCAAGAGCTGGCCAGAGGCTTTGTTTCTCAATGGTGGTGTTAAAGGGGTAAAATGAAGAAAATGGGGAAGTAGTGCTCAGCCTGCCTTCCTTAGCGAACAGGGGATTTGGGTTGAAGCTGAATGTGTCCCACTAGTGTGCACTGGGAGACAGAAGGCAAAAGTGGTGTGAGCTCCCCGCTTGTGACAAGAGAATGGCTGGGGGAGGCTGGAGGGATTTTCCAGGAGTCCTTAGATGACCTGCTTGCTCTTCTGGTTTGTCTGCCCACATGGATGGGTTCTTGGGGAATTTATCTGCAGGAATCTGAACTTGTGATGCTCATGGGACTGCTTTGAAATTTTGGAGACACAAATGAAGCTTAAGAATAAAATAATTTTCTGTTTCAACGAGGTATATTCCATGTGGAAACAGATGCAGACAGTGGCTGCTTTTATCCAGAGGTGGCTGCAGTTTTTAATTGTTGTAGGGGTGGCACATGTGATTTCTCTGTTGAGCAGACTGGCATTTAAATAGATTGTGATTTTGTATTGGGATTGAGATTAGGGTTTTGAAACTGGGACTTTTGGAAGCTGTTGAGCTTTGTAGGGGGATTTTTAACTTGGTCTTTTTAATTTGATAATTGTTTGTGTGACTAGTTCACAGGCTGTGGAGTGAGCTCATGGAACTCTCAGAGAAGTGTCTTCTCTGCACTACTTGTCCTCTAGCAGGCAGGATAACACAAATGAGTATTAGGGCTTTCTTCTCTAAAGCACTCATCTTGTTCCAAATTTCTACCTATTTCACAGCAAAAACAGATGGACAGCACAGAAAAGTAAGGTCTTCAGAAGAATTCAGACAGCTCAGCATCTGTTTTCTAAAAAAGGCAGATAAACAGTTGCATATTTTATAGATCAAGTTCGAGAAATTGTTTTCTTGAGAAAGATGCTGTGACATAAAGTAATTTTACAGTGGCATTGATAATTATGTGGAAGGTGTTGCTTGTCCGTGTGGTTCTTTTCTTTGGATGTTGGATTAGGGGACATCAGACCCGAAGCGAGATACCTGAAGCCAACAAAGTACTTAAAAATAAAATGCTTAAATAATAATTTCAGCTGTAGGTTTTTTCTGGTTTCAGTCTGTTTTGGTCAGTTATATCATTCTTAATCCAGGTCTGTTACTTTTCAGGTGGAATCATTTATCTTGGATCAGGATGATCTCGAAAACCCTATGTTGGAAACAGCTTCTAAATTGCTGCTGTCAAGTACTGCTGATGGTGCTGACCTGAGAACAGTAGATCCTGAAACCCAGGCGAGATTAGAAGCTTTGCTCGAAGCTGCGGGTAAGTCCTCGTGTCCCGTACAGGTTTAACCCCAAAGCCCTGACAGGAGTCCCTACTGGAATCGCTTGCGTAAGGCTAATCCATGGGAGCAGGATACAGCTGCGAGATGCACGGCAGGGTGGGGTTTGGCAGGGGTGTCACTGAAGAGAAACAAGTTCATTTTAGAGTATTCCAAGGTGTGGAAAATCAGAATTTTACGTGAAGATGTTTTCCAATCAAATTTCTCCAATGTCGGCGTTTTAAAAGCCTGAGTCAAAATTGACGCTTGACTTTGGCGTGTGCCATTATGTCAAACCCCGAATGGCTCAATAGATTTTATTTTGTAGTAGTTGCTGTGTGAAAAGCTTTCATAGTTGCTTATATTACGTAGTTTCAGTAGCTGAAAACCGATTCCTTCCGTGGCTTGGAGGGTTTCAGTCACGTGCAGCTTGGAATGAGTGCTGTGAACAGTTGAAGCCATCGTTTTGGAAGCTGTAGTGGATGGTGCTTGGAATGTTGGTGCCGACAGCTCTCAGAGGCTCACTTTGACCTTGTGTGCTCTCTCCTTGCTGGCACGCGTGCCCCTGGGCTGCGCACGGGCACGGCAGGCATAGGGAAGCTGTCCACGGCGGATGGGAAGGCGTTTGCGGACCCCGAGGTGCTGCGCAGGCTGACCTCGTCCGTCAGCTGCGCCTTGGATGAAGCGGCCGCCGCGCTGACCCGGATGAGAGCCGAGAGCACGGCCGGCGCAGGACAGACGGACAAGTAAGGCGGCCTGGGCCTGGAGCCTCTCAGCCCTTTGCTCCCTCTAGAAGCGGTTTTTCTTGTTCTAGCACTTACACTGAGGGCATGATGAAACTCTTACTCAAGTGGAGTTGGTGCCAAGTTATCACCTTTGCTTCTCCTGCTTAAATATTTGTGGACTGGCAGGTCTTGCAGTAGGGAGTGAAGCCATTCATGCTGCTCAGAATTACGGAATGAAACTCCAAGGAGTTTATCGTGACCAGCTGTAGAATCATTTCTAAACTCTTCAATGGTATGGGCCTTAGAACTGTTCCAGAGAGTTGTAAATTCCCACGTGGGTCATTCAGTGACAGCATGAAACAAAATTTCAGATGAAAAAAATCTTTTAGGGAATTTCAGACTGCCTTTTTAATTGAGGAAGGGAAACAGCCTTTAGTGATTGGAGCTCCATAGTAGTCAGTGTCACCTCAGCCAAGGAGCTGCTGCTCTTGTGCTGGACTTGGTGGCTTCACATGAGCAATTTTTTCCACTGGGGTATTTTGGAGGGAAAGAAGAAGGATGTTTCCTTCCAGACTGCCATAAGGCTTCAGTGCAGTGGAAGCATTGTTAGTAGGGACAACCAAGGGTGCTGTGCTAGTCAGAAGTTTGTTCCTTCTATACAGAATAACTCCAAAGAAAGATTTCTTGCTGTAGGAACAGCTTGAAGAGCAGTATAATTTTGCGTTGTGTCTGCTTCTGTTCTGTCTGCATCCCCTCTTCTCCTCTGCACCTCTTTCTTGGGAATGGTGGTAGTTGCCAAAGTTGTTATAAAAACAGAGGTGCTTGGAAATTAAAAAAAAAAGGTCAACGTGTAGTGAAGAGACACATTTCAGAACTGATTCTCCATGTATTAAAATTATGTCTGGTTACGAGACCCTGGTATTTTCAGCACAGGACAGAAGGGAAGTGGTTAAGTTTCCTACAGGAGAACACTGATGTTGGTGTTTTGTTTTAGTTTAATTTATAGTTACAGTGCTGAACAAATAAAGTTTTCTCAAGATTGGCAGGTGATTTCCATGTCCTCTGGTCCTGGGATATCCTGCATCTGTATCTCTTGTAAACTTCTGTTAAAAATTCATAGCAGGAGTGGATATGGACACAACTTAATTTTCAGCCAAGTTAGCTGGGAAACCTCAAATGTAAAGCTGGCGCTTCTTTAATTAGCAGTTGGCACGTTTTTAGCTGGTGTTTCCTTTTTTGCTGATGTGTCCTCATGGCACACTGGAGCTGAGGCAGAGTCCCTTTCCACTCTGAATGCTTTCCCCTTGTTAGCCGCAGCCTGGCCGAGGCCTGTTCCGAAGGAGACGTGAATGCTGTGCGGAAGCTGCTCATTGAAGGCCGCAGCGTGAACGAGCACACAGAGGAAGGGGAAAGCCTCCTTTGCTTGGCCTGCTCAGCAGGGTATTATGAGCTTGCACAGGTTGGTTTCCTGGCTGTTTGTACCGTTTGTGTGTTGTACATAAAGAGATGTTAAATCAATTATTAGCATTTTGTGCACCTGGAAGAGGGTGTTAAGGTAGTGAGAAATGGCAGACGAGTCTCACACATGCACTACATGTTGCTGATACATTCTGGGTGCCTATTTTGTGCCAGGATTGCTCACCCAGCACTGGGGTGAAGGTGGGGGTTGGTAGTGCGGGGGCAGGGTTTGTCCCTCCGTGTTGCTGATCGGTGTCTCTTGGCAGGTTCTCTTGGCAATGCATGCCAATGTGGAGGACCGGGGAATCAAGGGAGACATCACACCTCTGATGGCTGCTGCCAACGGCGGGCACGTCAAAATTGTCAAGCTGCTGCTAGCTCACGGTGCTGATGTGAACGCACAGTCATCCACAGGTAAAGGGGCTCTTGGGAACCACTGCAGAGCTGGCATTTGCTCTGTGCAGGCAACTTGATGTGGAAGTTCGGGAGCCATGGCTCTCAGCCCAGCTAGGCAGAATGCTTCCTTGTGGTTTTGCCATTTAAATTCCCTTTTCTAAGTGGAACTCTGAAGTATTGTTGGATGCAGATCAAGTATTGTGGAGACATAGAAAGGTGGATATGGTCAGTTAGTAACTCGAAGATGTTTGAGTACCTAGGATTTGTTGTCACATTTTAAGCACAGTTTGGTAAATTTGTGTGTACGTGGGAAAGTTATTTGGTGGCAGGTCGGGAAACCCAAGGGGAAAAGTGAGAAGAGGGCCTCCCCTTCCACTGTTCCCGTGGTAATTTGCTAGGGATTTGTGTTGAAGTGACCAGATTGGGAAATCCTGTAAGTTTTTGTAACCTGGAAGTGGAGAGCTGGTGTGTAGTCAGCAGTACCTGATGAGTGGAGAGCTGACCCTGAGTGAGGGGGAGAGGGGGATACCAGAAGACACCGTATTTATTTTTTAATTTTTTTTTTTCAGTGAAGCAGTTTTCTCAGTGGTAATATGGCCTTGACCTGTAACATTTTTCAAGGTGTCTTTCACAGAGGCAGATTCTTTGGCTGTTGTGTGCAGATCCATGTTTTTGTATTTTTTCCACCGAAGTTTTTTTCCTCTCCTTGTAAAGACTGGGAACATTTTGGAACCAGTCCCTTGCAGGTGTTTAAGACCTGATTTAGAAGCAGCAGTTAATTCTACTCTGGGTTTTGAGCTTTCATTTTACAGCATTACGTGCTTCTGCTGATTAACAGGAATGTGGCTGGGGGTTTTGTGACTGGGCTAGAAATGGGAAGAGAGGTGCATAGTGCAGGCACAAGGAGGTCAGACACTCAGTCTGTCAGCACCAGGCTGCTTGGTGCCACTGCTGATTCCCCCCCCCCCCCCCGCGTAGTTGTTCATCTGTAGCGTGAAAAGCCCTGTTCCATCAGGTACCCAGCTAGAAGGGGTGGAATGGAGCACCAGGTGGAGTTGTGGGTGAGGAAGGCCATCAGGCTGTGTTCCCAAGCCCTGTTCTCTCTGGCCCAAGGCAACACAGCCCTGACGTACGCCTGCGCCGGGGGCTACGTGGACGTGGTGAAGGTGCTGCTGGAGTCGGGCGCCAGCATCGAGGAGCACAACGAGAACGGGCACACGCCGCTGATGGAGGCGGGCAGCGCCGGGCACGTGGAGGTGGCCAGGGTGCTGCTGGAGAACGGGGCGGGCATCAACACGCACTCCAACGAGTTCAAGGAGAGCGCCCTGACACTGGCCTGCTACAAAGGTACCGTACCGGGTGGGCACAGGGGTCAGGGACAGCCAGGAGTCCTTCAACCTTGCTGCCCGTGGCAGGGGAATTCAAAGGTGTGAGCACACCCTGTGCTGCTCTTGTCCTGGCTGTGATACCACACAGCATGCCTGTGCCATGTGCAAAATCATCTGTGTGCAGAGTCTGAGTATCAAGATCTAAAACTTTGGTCTTAGGTATGATTATTTAGAAGATGCTCTGTTAAACAAATGAAGAGACAAGGAGCTAATGTGTTATATTACAGAAAAAGTAAGCTAAACTTTCTGTATTACAGCTGTTTTATGCCAGGTACCTCTGCTTAAATACAGCAAATACTTCATTTTAAAGGACTGGCACTGGCAAATCATGGAAGGTTTAGGACCTTGACTTTTATGTGTGCGTACTGAGGCCTTTTCCTCCCTTAAAGCATTAGGCAGAAAAATTGCAGCACCCCAGAAAGGGATGAAGATGTTTCATTAAGACGCAAAATCTGTTCCTACAGCCCAGCAGCTGCTGTTTTAGTCACTTAGGACATTTTTTTATTAGGCCCTTGCCATCATGGAGTACTTGATTTTGGTAACAGAGGTTCTTGTGTGGCACCTGTGTAGAAGTTGGTCTTAGTCTTTCATGTATATTTTTTACCAGCTACACTGATAAGCTGCTGTGCACGTAGATGGCAGAGATACAAACACACCTTTCCAGAGCGGACTCTTTATGTTGTATCACAGACATCCATGACCTTCATTATGTGCTTTAGAACACTATGAGTGTTGAAATGCACTTTCTCAAGCAGTTTCCTTCTGTTAACTATTTTTCCACACAGGCCATCTGGAAATGGTGAGGTTTCTGCTGGAAGCTGGTGCAGACCAGGAGCACAAGACAGATGAGATGCACACTGCTCTCATGGAGGCGTGCATGGTAAGAGACGTAAGGCTCGAGCAGTGAGGTCTGTGGGCTCTCTTTTCTTGCTGAAGATGGAGAAAGTGGTTCCTTTGAGTTTCCTTCTGGTACAGAATCTAACTGTGATGTTTTGGTTCTCTTGTCTGCTTCATGGGAAGTTAACTTTATTGTTAAACTGAGAATTATTTTCTTAAATTTTTATTTTATCCTTCTCTCCAAATAGATTCCTCATGTGTTGGGATTTTCATGGCATTATTAGACTTGTGTAATGTCACACTGTGAACCCGTGGCTGTAGAGGAGGGCAGTGAATCCCTGTTTAGTCTGCCCTTCCCTGAAACAACTGCAATGGTTCTAAATTGGCCAGTTGTGTCTGCTGAAAGAAGTTAATGGTTTCACATGAGGGAATGATTAACAGAAACCATTACACTTCTTGAAAGTTGTTCCAAAGAAAGTCACGTAGGTAAACAGAACTCGAGCTGTCCTTTATCTCACCCTGAAATCTTACTAGAGCAGCCACATGAATATCCTTGGCCATGGTCTTGCAGCCAGTTCCTGGGAGTTGATGATAAAATGACCTTGTTTAATGTTGCAGTTGCCTTCTCATCAGGATGTATTTTGTGGTGAAGCTATGGATCAAGCCATCCTTTCCTTGTCATTCTCTTCTGCCCTTTTAACTCTTCTAATAGACTAAAAAAATTCCATCATACCCACAGAGGATGTTAAGACCTAATTTTTGTTAAAAATTACTGAGCAGTAGGAAAAAAATTCTTCTCCCTTATTCCTGCAGGAAGCTGTTCCTAGGGAGGCAGTTCCACGCTGGTGCTCAGAACTGGCAGATAGTTCAGTCTCATACCTCAGCTCTGCTGACGAGAGAAGGAGCAGCTTTCTCTAGCAGTATTTAAAAGCTTTGCAGTGTGAAATGAAGCAGAGCAAGGACTTCCATCTCAGCATGTTCTTTGTGCAGAAACAGTTACTGCTCTTCAGTGGCACAAGAAAACTTCCTTCTCTGGAACAGCTTTGAGCTTGAATGTGTGCTCACAGAATTGTCTGTCTGTGGCATAGCCAGTGCAGGTTTAAACCCTTCTGCAGCCTTGTGGATTCAGGAAGACTTGTGCCTGAGAGTTTTTTCAGACGGCAGTTAATACTGATTTAATGCACGGGAGGCGTTGGACAGTGGCACTTGCCTTGTGGGAGCAAAAAGCAGGGTGATCTAGTTGGTGTTTCCTCTCGCTGAAGGACTGCTGCCCACAGAGCTTCAGCTTTAAAATACAGCTGATGATCTTGTGAAGATTGCTCAGGTGACTTTTCCTGTTCCCTTAGCAGTTGGTAGGCTTTTCCTGGCTGTTGTAGGAGAGCTCAGCAGCCCTACCCCACTGCAGGGTTTATTAAAACATGGATCCAGTTCCCTTGTGTGGTGGAGCTCCAGCAGTTCTCCTGCAGGCTGCTTGGCCCACATAGGAAGTTTTGAAGCAAGCCTGGGTGCTGTGTCGTGCCATCCTCAGCGTGGAGCAGGGGTGAGCAGGTAGCTGTCTTGCCAGAGCCTGATGGATGAGGCACTGTCTCTGCATTTCCCTGAGGAAAGATTCTTTATGGAGGCTTGGAGTTTTTCCCTAAAATAGTTCTGTCATTTCATGTAAAAGGTGAATATGTCCTAGTTAATGTCCTAGATATTTTTCCGAGAGGAAGCCGTGCTTTGCTCCCTGGATATCAGAATAAGGTATGAAACACTTGAGAAAATGAAGCGGAAAAATGTCAGTTGCAGTTTGGTGTTTTGTCTGGAAAAGAGCTTTTTGGAGTTGTGGTTTCCAGCTTGGCAAGGATGGCTGTGGATGAGATTTGCTGCCTCTTAGGAATTAATCTGAAATCAAGGTGTACTTACCTCATTCAGAGACAACCTTGGGAATGCCTTGTGTTCCTGGTGAGTGGCTGTTTATTTGCTGCAGCCCTCCAGTGTTTTGTTTGTCAGATTTTGGTTCCTCCTAGTTGTAATGGTGGCCATCTCCTCATGGAGAAAACCAGCTTGGAGACTTCTTGCTGTTGTTGGAGCGCAGCGACCCAGCCAGGCACTACTGCTGTCTGAACAAAGCACTGTGGAATGGCAATTGGATGTGTCACTGTCAGGCCTCCAGTGTAAACATGGAGCTGAAAAGCCACTTCAAATAGTTCCTGACTTTATGGAATACTGAAAATGAGACGGAGATCCTGTGTTGAAGTATTTTGCAAGGAAGAAAGCAAATTTAAGAGCTGCCTTTTGGTAGAAGGGGTTTGATCACAGTGGAGCATGATCACGGTGTCTGGAAACCCCTGCCAGAATGCTGCCAAGGGAAGGCTGTTGCTCGGGTGGGTGGCTCCTGGGATGTGTAAGGAACCCCTGACATGTGGTCTCATTTTGGCTTTTCACTTGGAAGGAGAAAGTAAGTCTTGACTCTGCTGTTAAATTGAGCAGTGAAATAGTTTTGCAGGGGCCATGAGGCAAGCCCAGGTCAGTGTGCATAGCTGCTTCGTAAGGAAGGGAGGAAGCAAAAGAATCTCACTGTTGTTCTTGTGGAGGAGACAAGCTTCTAAAATAGTCGTGAGCTCCCTCTTGACTTTATGGGCTTTATTTTGGAGTTCCCCCCTGCCCCAAGGAAGTTGATCCCAAACACCTGAACTGGAGTCTGATACAAAGTTGTCCAGCTTGTTGCTTACACCATTGACAGAGAGGTCTGATATGAGGTTCATAGCACATATTTAGTAAAATGTGCTCAGCATTTCTACAGGTGCGTGTTGAGTAGGAGACCTTATGCTTTATCCAAATACTTAGGGAAAATAGTCAGAAAAATTGTTCATTGTATTTGTGGACTCACTTTACTCCCTCATGGCTTTTTGTGTATTTTGAGGGAATTTGAGTCTGTGGCAAAACCATGGAGAAAAGCAGTTTTTCCATTTGGTCAGTCTTCTGATCTTATTTTTTTTTTGCTTTTGCAGGATGGTCACGTGGAAGTGGCAAGGTTACTCCTGGACAGCGGAGCTCAGGTGAACATGCCTGCCGACTCCTTCGAGTCCCCGCTGACCCTGGCAGCCTGTGGTGGGCACGTGGAGCTGGCAGCTCTGCTGATTGAACGTGGAGCTAACTTGGAAGAGGTCAATGATGAGGGATACACGCCGCTGATGGAGGCAGCTCGGGAAGGCCACGAGGAGATGGTGGCACTGTTACTTGGGCAAGGTAACCGCTGCTCAGCAGGCTGCTCAGCAAGCTCTGAGCTGCTTTGATTTTTGCTTTCTTTGGTTATAAGATGCCTTGTGCATGTGGAAGTGGTTTGTGTGCTGATGCTGCCCTCTGTAACCGGTGTTTTGTGTTGTTTGCAGGAGCAAACATCAACGCTCAGACAGAGGAGACGCAGGAGACCGCATTAACTCTGGCTTGCTGCGGAGGGTTTCTGGAGGTGGCCGATTTTCTCATTAAAGCAGGAGCTGACATAGAACTCGGCTGTTCCACACCTTTGATGGAGGCTGCTCAAGAGGGGCATTTGGAGCTGGTCAAATATTTATTAGCTGCGGGTATGGAGTAGTTTTGTTAATGCTTTTGTAAATGCTTAATCTAAAGAGAAAAATACTTTGTCCGATAGTCATTACATTTTCTTTAGCAGCTTCTTGAACTTGACTGTGAAGGTCTTTGAAGCCCAAAGTAATTTACTGGTTGGACTCTAATTTAGCTTTTGAAGATTGAGTTGATGTAAACTTGTTTGGAGCTAACTTGCAGTTTGTTTTTATTCCTCTTAGAGTACAGTCAGGTTATCAGTTTAATAGATGCTGGATTGGAAGGCTGAAGCTTCATTTGCTGTTTGATCCTGTAAAGATTGTGGAGGCTTGTATGTTTTCTGTAATGCCCATCATAAAGCTTCCAGTGTTTTGTCCTTGCTGTTTCAGGAGCTAATGTGCATGCAACAACAGCAACAGGTGACACGGCACTGACGTACGCCTGTGAGAATGGCCACACTGATGTAGCAGATGTCTTACTTCAGGCAGGTGCAGATCTGGTAAGTCATTTATCTTCCTTAAAAATGTTAGTAAGATATTAAATTATCAGCATCTGATATTCTTCCTGTTTCTGTGTTCATTGATGAAAATTTACACATTCTTTAATGTATTTTGGGCTGTTAGATTACCCCAAAGTACAGAGGTCAGTTACAGTCCTCTGGTGATTGATGTCTAAAGCATTTCCAAGCCATTGAAGGTTGCCTGGACAGGAAAAGAGGGAATTTGATTCTTTTGACGTGGTACTCAGCTTCAAATTGTTGACTTGATTCTGGGTTAGTCCTTGTACCTGCAAATCTGTTCTATTCCTTATGCATCAGATAGTTGACAGTCTGTTTGGTGTGCTATAATGGAATTAAGATGATGGAGGTAAACTGGTTTTTCCTTTTCAGTACACCAGTGTGTTATCAAAAAGTGATGTTAGGCATGTCAGAAGATGTCCTGCTTAACTAAAATCCCCCTCATGTGCCTTGAATGCTTTTTGTCCAGGAGTCCCACCTGTGCAGAGACAGGTGGTGAATGGTTCACCTGCATTCAAGATACCCTCAGTTCAAACATTAGCTGAATATTTATGGCTAAGTGTGTGAAACAATAGAGAAGGATGTTCCATGTCTAGCATCTTTCCATTCAAAAACTCAGGAGGCTGGCTTGCCTTCTTTCACATGCCACTTTGGATTTTGAAGCCTTTCTTTATCTGCTCTAGGAGCATGAATCAGAAGGTGGAAGAACCCCACTCATGAAAGCTGCCAGGGCAGGTCATGTTTGCACTGTTCAGTTCTTGATTAGTAAAGGTAAGAATGTGGAATGGTTTGGGTTTTCCTGACATTAGAAATACTTCAAGTTAAGAACATGTCAGAGCTAGTGTAACTTCCTTGGATTTGTTTTAAATGTCCTGGCTCCTGTAGGCAATTGATTCTCCAACTAGGCATGCAATGATTACCTGTGGTTTCTGCTGAGATTAGTGGAACTGCATGTAGTTGTAAAAATAGTGTAATTCAGTCTGTAATTCCTAGTAGAAGCAGCAGTATTAGGGATCCCTGGGGTCTCCATGCCCCATGGTGCAGCTTTGGAGCACGGTATTTGGCAGTTGAACTACAAGTCCCTTTTGGTTTCCAGAGTTTGACTGTAGTTTGCTTGATGTTTCAATACAAACCAGGAATTTCCATTTTCCTTCTCCTGAGCTGATTGTCATGAGTTTTCTTGTCCCTACCTTGTATGGAGTAGGACATGTGGCAGGATGGAGTTTTCCCTGTGTAGATTGCAGAGCAGTTAATTGTGTTAGATTTGATAGAGGTGCTAGCTGTTGAAGTGAGTTTCAGCTGATGTTTGCCCTTGTGTTTGTGCAGGAGCAAACGTGAACAGGACCACAGCGAACAACGATCACACAGTGCTGTCGCTGGCCTGTGCCGGAGGTCACCTGGCGGTGGTGGAGCTACTGCTCGCTCATGGTGCTGATCCCACACACAGACTCAAGGTTTGTCCCTCACCTCCCTCATTTTCCTCTGAAACTCAGGATACCCAGCTGGATTTTCTCCTTTTGTGTTCCCTACAACTCACCCAGCCTGTGATGATTTAAGTGGAAGTTTGCACAAGCAGTGTTCTGCTCGTGTATGTGTTGTTGTGGTTAGTGCAGGTCTCTTGATCATCGTGAGCATAAAGTGCTGATTGTGGAAGGGGAAAAATTTTTAAAGTATTATTCAATTTTTTTTTAATACTTCATCAAGCCTGTAAGTTTAGATGTGAGCTTGTGGAGATGGAGTATTTACTAGAACAGAAAGCAGTCCCATAGGTAGTGTGTTGTGTGTCCCAAAATGCTGCAATGCAGTTTTCATGATGCTCTGTTCTAACTGTGAGCTCTTTTCCTGTCAGGATGGATCGACCATGCTGATCGAGGCGGCCAAAGGCGGTCACACCAGCGTGGTTTGTTACCTTCTAGATTACCCAAACAACTTGCTTTCTGCTCCTCCACCTGATGCCACTCAGCTGACCCCACCATCCCATGACCTCAACAGGGTAAGATTCCAGGGCTCATGGTATGCATGGTTTTTTGCACTTGGTTACTCAAGAGTTTAAAGGTGAGAGAAGAGTCAATTATGTCCTATCATGAACTGTAGGTGAGCACACTTAAAATTACTTAGAGTTGCAAATCTGTTCTATTCCTTACGTATCAGATAGTTGACAGTCTGTTTGGTGTGCTGTAATGGAATTAAGATGATGGAGGTAAACTGATTTTTACTTTTGGGGAAGACTTTTGAACGTTATGATGTAGTGATCTCATCATTCTTACTGTTCTCTAAGTATTGCTGGAAAAAAACACTGAGGGTGGACAAAACCAGCAAGTGCAAAGATCTGCTTAAATGAAACTCTACAGAATTGAATTTATGGCTTGTATTTGCAGTACTACAGTACAGCACTGTACCAGGCTGAGTATAGTTCTGCAAGTAAATTTTTAGGTTAAAAATGCAAAGTATGTGGAGATCACATGATCTGTAGGTGTTAATTATTGAACTCAGCATATTAAAAACTATATTGAATGTTGTTAGTCACCATTAAAGTCTACTTTTCTAACAGATTTTGTTTGCCTTCTGTTGAATTGTAACTAGCACAGAGTATGAGAAAAGTAATCTGTTAGTATCCGACATTTTAGGCTCCTCGAGTACCAGTGCAGGCGCTGCCCATGGTCGTCCCACCCCAGGAGCCTGACAAACCCCCTGCTAATGTCGCCACAACCCTTCCCATCAGAAACAAAGGTCAGTCCTAGTTCTGCAGCTTATTTTCTAAATATCCTTCCTAGGTAGAAGATAGAGGCTTGCACTTGTAGCAGAGTAGCTCCTATGAAGAGTGTTTATGGATTCAGTCAAGGAAACTGCAATTTTTATTTTTTTTTTAAGTATTTTTTTAAGGATTTGTTTGTCCACCAAGTCAGTCATCTAAGCCTCTAATCATAAAACATCAAGAAATCTGCCTAAGTAAATCTGTTAAAATCTCTAGTCTGACACACTGAACTAATGCAGAATGTTACCCAGAAGTCTATAGAAATTGGATAATGGAAGTTGCAAAACCCATGTTAATCTCCATATCATAGTTGATTTGATAACTTGTGTTTCCTTAGGGTAGTAGTCTGGGAGTGGGTTTGACTAATTGGATTGAAGGCGGAATTTCTTGTGCAGTAAAATCTTTAGTCTGATGTGGCTCAAGTCCTCCTAGGACTAAATTTGCATCTATTTTGCTCTCGCCATTTTGACACTTAATGCTTTCTGTACTTAAGAATTCTCGTCAAAAACCAATTTTTATCAAGCATCAGCAGTAGCAAATACAGGCGTGCATGTCCTAAAATTAATCCTGTGTGTACACTTGTATTGTTCTGGAGATACAGCGAGGATGGCTGGAAGAAACTGGGCACCTCCACTGCCTCAGATCCTGAGTTTTGAGTTGCCTTTCGCCCTTCAAAATTAACCGATTGTTGCTTCTCCACCTGGTATGGCAGAGCATGTCAGCTGTGTTACTGGGGACTTCTGCATAAAACACCAGTTGGATTAGTCCATCGCTTGTTCTTGCAGGAAGGCTGAAATACTTGCCTTGCCTGGACAGAGAGCTGAGCTTTGACACAGGCAAAATCGTGTCTGCTATGGATAAAACTAGGTGGCTAAAGACACCCTGTTAGGTCCTGCTAAATGTAAATGACAGTCCTGGGTTCTGGCACTCTTTGTCACCTGAGCAGAGCTGGATACCTGGAGTGAAAGGATGCCTAGTTGTAGAGAGCCTAGCGCTTGTTAAAGCCTACCAAGTCGGTCGCAAAGCCGGCAGCCTAGTCCCAGTCCTAGAGGTGTTTTTGTGTCCCGTGGGCTGCGCTTTCGGGGCTGTAAGCGTTTGTTTATGTCCCAACACCACACCAGACGCAGAACACCAAGTAAAGAGGCAGCATATCCTTGCTTTTTGTTCCCAGTTTCCGTGTAGCAGCACTCGGTAGCAGCGGCTCGAGACAATCGCTTCCTTTGGCAAAAGCGTGCCGATTGCTGGAGCAGCCCTGTCACCGTAGCACAGGGCTCTGTGGGGTGCATGTGCACTGGTGTGGCCTGTTAACTTGCAGTCTGACTGCTGGGTACCCGTTGGCAGGTGTCCTTGGAGGGCCTCGGGGACACGCTGACCTCCCACGGGTGCCGTGCCACGCAGCGGCCCGGCAGTAGCTCTGTAATGAGGATGCCGTTGGTATGCACTTCCATTGCTTCTGAGGGGGTTTCTTTTTCACACAGCTGCTTCTAAACAAAAGTCCAGCAGTCATTTGCCAACAAACAACCAGGATGTACAGGGTTACATCACCAATCAGTCTCCAGAGAGCATTGTAGAAGAGGCTCAGGGCAAGTTGACAGAGCTGGAGCAGAGGATAAAAGAAGCCATAGAGAAGAACGCTCAGCTGCAGTCCCTGGAATTGGCACACGCCGACCAGCTCACCAAAGAGAAGATTGAGGAGCTGAACAAAACGAGAGAGGAGCAAATTCAGAAGAAACAAAAGATTTTGGAGGAACTGCAGAAAGTGGAGCGAGAGTTACAGCTGAAAACTCAACAGCAGCTAAAAAAGCAATATCTAGAGGTAAAAGCGCAAAGAATTCAGCTCCAGCAGCAGCAGCAGCAACAGTCTTGCCAGCATCTGGGACTACTGACTCCCGTTGGGGTAGGAGAACAACTCTCAGAGGGAGACTATGCACGATTGCAGCAAGTGGACCCCATCTTGCTCAAAGATGACCCTCAGCAAGCTGCTGCGCAGACGGGTTTTGCACCAGTTCAGCCTCTGGCCATGCCACAAGCTTTGCCTCTGGCAGCAGGTTCCTTACCTCCAGGGTCCATCGCAAATCTTACAGAACTGCAAGGTGTTATAGTTGGACAGCCAGTGCTGGGCCAAGCACAACTAGCAGGGCTGGGGCAAGGAATACTGACAGAAACACAGCAAGGGTTAATGGTAGCCAGCCCTGCTCAGACGCTCAATGACACGCTGGATGACATCATGGCAGGTGGGTTTACATTGTTATGAGCAGGTATAATATTTGCTTGACCAGTTGAGGGTATGTCCACTTCTTTTTATGTGTGTGTGTGTGTGTGTGTTTGTGTATTCCCACGAACTCTATGGCAAGCACCACTCATCCTCTGATCCCTGTCTCAAGGAGGTGGGAAAAGTAGCTTTTAACTTTTCAGTTTGCAGGGTGAGCTGAGCTGTGCCTGTTGGTCAGGTTGGTATGGCAGAGTGGCATTTTTAACTCGTCATGGTTTGGGGAAGGGTGTATTAAAGTTCATGTGGCAGTTCTATTTTGGCCTGATTGTAGCTCAGGAGTAGTAGCACCATGATGGTGCTGGGTAGTGCTTTGGGCTAGCTGAGAGCTGACTTGCAGTAGGCTGAGCAGCTGTAGCACCACAACTAGCCTCTAAAATGTGAAGGACCCGTAGGTTTATCTTCAGAATAAGAGCTGCTCCACTTGGCCTTATGTAGTCTACTTATTGGAAGCTTTTATTTCTGCTTGGGAAAAAAAAAAGGTGATAATCCTATGACTTTCTGAAACATCTCCTCATAAAAATGGCTGCCAGCAGAAAGCATGTTTAGCCTTACCAAACTCTTGTCATTGCTTCAGAGAATTCTCTGCCCGGTGACATGAATGCTCTAAGGCCTTAAGCAGTAAAACAGGAGAATGAAGCAGGTTTTAAATGAGAGTTGTCGCTGCTGTTTTAGTTTACACCTCACTCAGTTGTGCTTCATCTGAACCCTTCCCATGCTAAAGCAATCATTGAAATACCCCTTACCTGAACACAGGTGAACTGGTAGGACACAGTCTTAAAAAAAGATGACTTGATGAAAAGGTACCAGATGCTCTTGGTTAAGCTGATGCACTGTTGTTTTTACAAGTGCTGTCCATCTGAACAAGTCTGCTTTGCAAAGCTGTTGGCATGAGGGATGTGTGCCAGAGGAAGGCAGGTCTCAGAGAAAGTGTTGGCCCAGAGCTGGTCCTGCATGTACTGCCCGAGCTGGAGCACAGTAGTAGTACAGAGTCATGGAAGGTGTGGTAACTGATTAAAACTATCAGGTGGTGATTTTTTAAAGCACTTGGAACACCACTTTTGTGGTGAGACACCTGATGAGTGACCTTGTGTCCAGGCAAACTTCATTAAAGGTGACAAAAACTTCTTTGCTGGAAATCTCGTGTTAGAATTGAAGCATAGGTGTAAAGATTGGAAGTGGATGAAAACACAAATGTAGGCATGAAAAAGTAGATGAAATGACATATAGCATGTACTGACAGTAACAGTTTCTCTCATGGAACTGCTGGGGTGCAGGACAACATGAATTTAAAAGCTGGGATGTTTGCAGTTGTCAGTAACTTACAAAGAATCTGTGCAATGCACTTCAGTTGTGTTTAAATACAAGTTGACCTGGAGTTAGGACGTTTGGGATCGGTGTTTAGCTGCGTGTCACATCCTGAGCAGGTGTCATTCCAGGTCACCTGCTGCATACCTAAATGCCTGTTTGTGCCTTTTTGGGCAGTCAGGTATTTCCAGTGGGAATTGGAGGGAATATTCTGGTTCTGCTGAGCCCCACTTGTTAGTAGTGCATGCACACATGCAGTTGGGAAGGAAGTCTGAATTCGTTTTCTGTCAAGTGCCTGTGATTATAGGGTGGTTTTTTTTCAGCAAGGACAGACAAAGGCCTGAGTACAGAACTTCAGTGCTAGCCTGTAGTGAGTCCACAAATCACAGTTTAAAATGTGGAGCTGAAATGGGCTCAGTGTAACACACAACATTTAAGTAGCCACTAAATATTTGGTCAATAACTCCGTGTACTGCTATAAAAGAAGCTTCTAGAGTATTCTCAGAGATGTAAATTCTTGTTTCAGAGATGCCTTGAGTTTAGTTCCATTGCAGAGCTGTGTTTGCAGCACCAGTTGTAGAAACAAAGCTTCACCTTGACTGTGCAAACTTGATTTAATGTGCATCTCTGTGCTTTATTAGTTGAAAACAATGGCTAACTAGTAAATAATAGTTAATTTTTTCCTTTGGGCTCCTTTATGATCCTGCTGGAGTTGAGGACAAGCAAAAGGTTTGCTCTTGAGCTTCAGATGTCAGGCAAGTTTTTTGCTTGCTGTGAGGCACATAAAAAGAAGTATTTTTTAGGGTTAGTTGTGTAAGGCTTGTATGGAAACATTGCATCTGTTAAGTGATGTGGTAAAGATCCAGGGAGAAAAATCACCTTGTTTTCAATAGCAAGCTTTTTACAAAGTAGGAACCATTCCAAGGATTGTGTTCCGTCGCAGAGCTTTGCAAAGAACTTCAGGAATCTTGAAGCTCTTGATAAAATGCATTCCTGGAAGCTCCCTTGTGGGTTGAGTCAGTTGGAAATGCAGCTGTCTGAATTAAAATGTCAGAAAGCAAGCTGTAAGCTTTTCACAGAGACTCAATACTGAAAAAAACAAACGACAATAGACTGCCAGCATCCCAGGAAAATCAGGCTGTGTGCCACTTGGGGCCTGAGCAGGAACTGGTTTCACATGGGGCTGGCCTGCCTTAGGCTGCCTTGCACACTGTTGACTAATAGCCACCAGGACTGCAGGTGTGCAGTGGTTCTCAGGCCCCATCCAAGGAGCCCTTCTTGCACAGCAGCAGCCCAGTGTTGGTGTTGGAATTCAGAACATAACCTGCACTGTTACAGTCCAAGGCATGTTCTGCATCTCAAGTGCTCTAGAGTGATTTTAATCCCGTGTGGCACCAACATGGTTTGTAATAACTGAGGTGCCACAGAGGAATTGGGGGCAGAGAAGGAACTGATGTGGAACAAGTCTGTAGAGCTGGCTTGAAACCAGCTGGGAAAAGCTGAGATGTCTCATACATTTCTTGTAAAGTATGTTTTTATTCCGTCTCTCATCTTGCCTCATTGCTGTGTGATGTGGAACAGTTTTTATCTGTCTGCTGTTGACAGTGCAGGAGGTGAGGAATCAGTGCATAAGACCAATGCTGTGCCCACAACAGGGCAGCACTTGTGGGACATGTGATGGCCACATGAGGAGAAGTGGGGTTACCAGGCCATGTCACTCTGGTGAGGCCAGTGGGCACGGGGCAGGAGGTAGCTGCTCTGAGGGTGTCCTCTTTTCATCCAAGCTAAGAGAGAGTTGAGGTATGGACAAAAGAAAATCAAGATGAAGAGCAGGTCTGTTCCAAATATCAGTAAGCACAAAACGGATTGTCTGCTAGCCCAGCAAATGTCCAAGACTGGAACTGGAGTAGTCAAACGGTGCTTGGTGATGTCTTCTGACCAAGGAGCTTGATGAAGGTGTAGGTGCTCCTATACCAAGTCTTGTATATCCTAAACATTCCAGTAGTGACCTAACTTGGAAGACTTGGTTATCCCAGGCATGAAATAAGGAAGTTTCTACGGTGAGGTACAGACTTGAGTTCACTTTGCCACTAGGCCATTAGAGTAGGACAAGGAGCAGAGTGCAGAGATAAATATTTGTGTCAGTGTGTTTAGCATATAGAATCAAGTTGGTTACTCCTCTCAGAGCTGCAGACTGCTCTGAAAACCTTTTGGGTTATTGAAAACTTTGAATATTTTAGTTTGGGCGCCATAAAAATTCTGTTCATCACCATTTGCGTGTTCATTAGAATTTGAACTCCACGCAGGTGATGTTGAAATAAATATAACCAAAGTGATTACCCATAAAAGTGGATATTGTGTCCAGTGAACTGTGCTGTAGGTATCTGAACTAAATTTGTGAATTATTGCTAGAGCATGTCTTTCTTTTTTGGGTTGGTTTGTTTTGTATTTTGGGGGTGGGGGGGCAGTAATTTGGGGTTTTGGTTGCCTTTTCTTCCCTCACTACACATGTAAAAAGTAGACTTTATCTCAACTGAGACCTTCTTAACTGACTTTATTTTTTTTTTTTTGCCTGAGAATTTACTAATGTCTCCTGTAATAGTGAAGATGCTTCCCAGTCTCCTTTTTGGGATTTGAGCAGGAATTCTTAGAAGCTGTTTAAAACACATGCAGTTTTTGACCTTATGTCAAAATATTTTGGCACATCTTCAGTATGTTAATTTTAATCCATACCTAGTGTGATTTGTGAGATAACTTTTCCAAAGGCACTCAAAGATCTAGATCAAGGGGGTTGGAATTCTGAATTCTGACTTTGGTAGGAAATTTTGTGTAGGAAGTCCAGAAATTAAATTAGTTCTGGGTGCAAAATACAGCTGCCTTGCAGAGGTGGGAGCACACAACTGGGCCTGTTAGGATACAGGTTTTGTGGCATCAGTTGGAAACTGTTCCAATTTGCAGTTAAAAGTGCTTTTGTCAGCTGGAAAGAAGCGTGTGGTACTGCTTCACCTTCTGCTTTGCTGTTACACCTGAGAAGCAGCTGGAGAAACACTGGAGAGGTGACAGGGAAAAAGCAGTGAGTTGTTGTGAGGAAAAGCAGGAAGAAGGGTGTTGAGGTTTGCTGTGCACTCCTGAGGGTGCCATGCACAGAATGAACCTCGGGAGGCGTGGCAGTCGGTGCTATCTGTGTCGTGTCCATGCACTGTTATTCCTGTCACTGGTGTTACCTTTGCTTACCTAACACCTGGACCAAACTCTCTGCAGCCTGCTGTTCCAAAGCTTCCACTTCTCTGGTTTCAGCAAATTCTGCTATGTGAGCATCCTGCCCTGTTGCTTTTTTGTTATGTTTATGGAGGGGTGGAGGTGAAGGCTGAACAGACTTCTACATGAAAACATTAAAACTTTTAAGAAAAATTGCATAGGTACCCGTTGGTTGGACTTGGTCTGCAGCCCTGCTTCCAAAGGTATGGAGCTCCAGGTCCAAATTATGGCTGATTTGTTGTAGGAAAGATCTTTGGGTTTAAAAAAACAACCAAAAACCTTTTGGTGGGCTTTTAGAATACATGTCAGTCTGATACTTAACTCTTTCTTTGATTGAATGGAGTAAACCTTTTTCATAGTTCAAATTCTGAGAGTTAAAGGATCAAAGGTTGGGCTCAGTGTGTGGAATACATATATTTGTGGAAAACAACAGTTTTTGAGGAGTTCCATCTGTCGGTGGGAATTCATCCCACTGTCCCTTTATTGTCACATTACATTGGGAAGTGTTTTGCTTTGACTTAGTGTGGTTCTTCTGTCCAACAGCAGTGAGTGGAAGAGCATCTGCAATGTCAAACACTCCTACCCACAGCATTGCAACCTCAGTGTCCCAACCTCAGACGCCGACTCCGAGTCCCATCATTTCTCCTTCAGCCATGCTGCCCATCTACCCTGCTATAGACATAGATGCCCAGGTGAGCCTGCCCCTCCCACAGATGCACCAAGCTGCTTTTTCCTGCATCTTGAATAATTCACTGGTGGCAAACAGCTCTGCTGTATAGTGGATTGAGCTCTGGAGACTGGGTTTGCTGCTTTTGGATAGGCAGAGCAACGCCCCCGAGAGCTGCAACCCACTTTCCTCTGTGCTCACACTGAACAAAAAAAGATCTCTGAATGACTAAACACTTGCATTTCTTATTCCTGTGTTGTCAGTGGCATTATGAGAAACAGCAGAGTTGCCTACTGACAGAAATGAAATGTTTTCTGGCCTGGTATCCTAATACAAAAATAATCCTTAAAGCATTGCACACAGAGTTTTCGGTTGTGCTTCCAAGTTGTTAGCCAGAGATCACGGATGTGTGAAAGTCTTGAAAGTAAGAATTGCTGTGATTTTTTTTTTGAGCAAGAGGAAATAATTCAAGCTCTCATTTCCACTAAGGGAAAGACTTTTCTGTATGAAAATAACTGTTAAAAAGGCAGCTTTATTTTGACTTGGAGCTAGCTGGCCATCAGCAAAAGCATACACATACTGACTGGCATATGCACAGCTCTGGCCTATACATAACATGACTGAGATTGGGCAGCATGGAGCAGAGCAAAGGCATGAGATCATTGGGGAGAAAAGGAGAGAAACTTCTGGAAACTCAGCCCTTGCTACTTAGTTGCTTGTGATACTTGGCTTGGATTGTGCCCTGATAAAGCCTTTGGCTGGAGTGCCAAGCATTAAAGACAGAATTCTTACCTTCATTATACCATGTAAAGGTCACAGTCAAGCAGTGGTAAAGAAGTTAATCTGGTTAGCAGAGCACAGATGAGAGCTCAGTTCTTGAAGAATCTCAGTTCTTGTCAGGATTTCTTCTTAAACCTCCCAGCAGAGCTGTCTTGAGAGGTAGAATCCTGTCATGAACTTGCACAGAGCTGTCAGGGGAGCACCCATAAACACGCTCTTAGCTTATGGAAGCTTTTCCTTTGGCATGGGTACAATTATGTTTTGGCTATAGCAGGGGCTGTACTTGAAGAAGCAAGTATTTATCTTGTGTGTGTGTCTGTTTGGTTTAGACTGAGAGTAACCATGACACAGCCTTGACGCTGGCTTGTGCTGGTGGCCATGAAGAACTGGTACAAACCCTGCTGGAGAGAGGAGCTAACATTGAGCACAGGGACAAGAAAGGTGGGTGTCTCACCATGGCGGTATGAACCCTGTCTGCTTTGCCTGTGTGTCCCACTAAATAAATCCCCAGTAAACCTACACTTGATGTGAAACCTTCAGGCTTGCTCTTCTGGTGCTGTAACTTGTGTCATGTTTGCTGTTTCAGGGTTTACTCCGCTCATTTTGGCTGCTACAGCTGGCCATGTGGGGGTTGTGGAAATCTTACTGGATAATGGAGCTGATATTGAAGCCCAGTCTGAGAGAACCAAGGACACTCCCTTGTCTTTGGCTTGTTCAGGAGGGAGGCAAGAGGTGAAGTAAACCTTACATCTTGAGATGCAGTGTGTGAATGACATACTGTGTCAGTACAGTACAAGAATCTTCCAGAAAAGATAGTCACACAGGATGTGTGTTTAAAAAATGTGCAAAGGGCTTCACATTTTCCAATTTACACGTTACCACATGCCTAATCTAGACTGCTTTTTCTCTTTTGATAACTGGACTGATGCTGCCAGGTGTCCTCATGAATGCAGTCATTAGTGCCCCATTATGGGACTTTTATCAGCATAATTATATGTAGATATGAAAGTGAACACCATCATGAGTATTCTTGCTGAGAATCAGGAGTTAGACACAAATGGGTTACATATATAAGCATTATAGTTTTTGGGGAAAGAAATTGGAAAAAGCTGGGCTTTGGGTGGCAGAGATGATGTCAGAACACCCTCCTGCCCAAATTTTGGGTTTGACAGTGTATTTGTTCTGTGATTTCATGGGAAAACATTCTGATTGAGAATTGTGCAGGTCTGATCTAAACTTTTTTAATGCTTAAAACCTGAAAGTGAAGCAAATGTAATATTGCACTGGAAGTGACACCATGGGTTTTCACCTCAGTGTACACTGTGATTTTAAGTTGCTAGACAGTTCAGTTTCTGGTCATGTCCTCTGCAGGAGAGGACAAAAAGCAGGAGTACTTTGTATTCCATATTGAAACTCAATCTCTGGGTCTGGCACCCTTTAAAGATGGCTGAAATAATCATGAGGAGATCTGCTTTTTCTTACTCTGCTGTTGAATTTAGTAGATTCATGAGCAGCCATGATAGATTTTTTTTTTTAAAGGAAGTTTTAGAGTGGCTTTGGGGACACAGGTGTGGCCTCATGAAGGCAAGGGGTATAGCGAAGCAACTGATTAAAGCACCTTTCTTACCATTGACATCTTCCAACAGAACATTTAGGTCTAAAAAACATTTGTGTTGGCTAGATTTGCAAGTTTGGGAGCAAACCAGATGTTGTGTGTTGAAACACTGCAGGTGGTGGAGTTGCTGCTAGCTCGAGGGGCAAACAAGGAGCACAGGAATGTGTCTGATTACACACCTCTGAGCCTCGCTGCCTCGGGTGGCTATGTGAACATTATCAAGATTCTGCTGAATGCTGGGGCAGAAATCAATTCCAGGCAAGTTCCCTTCACAGCCCTTATCTCTTGTGCTTGCTTGTGAGTTATGTGAGGAAAGTGTGTGTGTTTTCCCTGTGTAGTTTTCTCTGTGTGTGTGCATTTATGCCATGCTTTTGCATCTGTTGGGAGGTAGAAAACAGCTCAGGTGTGAGCTGCAGGGGTACAAGGAAAGGGCCAAGCACAGGCTGTAAGTCATAAGCACACCTCATAAGAGATGCCCTTCAATTTGAAGCCATCAAAAAGTAAAAGTGGAGTCTCTAAAGTAGAAACACCTGTCCAAAACCATACTTGCTGTGGAGAACCTTTTGTAGGTCCAGTAGAAGTTGATATGCAGCTGATTTGTCAGTGTGTGAATTCTCTGCCTCCATTAGTTTATTATAGTCACATTTCTGAAATGACCTTTAAAACAGTTGTGGTTCTTTCTTTCTTCTTTTTCAGAACTGGTAGCAAATTGGGCATTTCTCCCTTGATGCTGGCAGCCATGAATGGGCACACTGCTGCTGTCAAGCTGTTACTGGACATGGGCTCTGATATAAATGCCCAGATCGAGACCAACAGGAATACAGCTCTGACTCTGGCCTGTTTCCAGGGAAGAACTGAGGTGGTCAGCCTGCTGCTTGATAGAAAAGCTAACGTGGAGCACAGAGCCAAGGTAAAGAGCAAACAGCCGGAGGGGGCTCCAGAGGGAGGTGCTTGTAAGTCATGGTGTCTGCATTGGTACCTGATTTTCTTGCCTTTGTGCAAGTCAATTTCTCTAGTTCAGTTCTCCAGTCCAGTTAACTAAACCAGATATCATATAGAAAAAAAAGGGCTGCATTTAAGGAGTAAGATTTTGGTGGTTGCAAAGCTCATCAAAAAATGTGTTTCTTCAAATAAATGTTGATTCATCTTGTGGTGCTTACAAGCATAAGAAGAGTAACCCATGGTGTTTGTGAGTCAGATAAACACTGTGTCTCAGGTAAGCCACTCTCCCCCCACTAATGGCTTCTGTCTGCTTGTCCCAGACTGGTCTCACTCCGTTGATGGAAGCAGCCTCTGGGGGATACGCAGAGGTGGGCAGGGTCCTGCTGGACAAAGGTGCAGATGTCAACGCTCCCCCAGTCCCTTCATCCAGAGACACAGCTTTAACCATTGCAGCAGACAAGGGGCACTACAAGTTCTGTGAGCTCCTCATTAGCAGGTATGCTGTTGGCATGTGAGCAGTTTGAAGGGAAACCTGGCTGTGTTTACGCTCCATTGTCCCCATGTACAATCATATTTCCAAATAGCCAGCAGGGGGTCAAAAAATGGGAAAGGTTCTGTGTGTCTGTTGACTGCTGTCACATAATTTATCCCAAGGACTCAAATGAAGTCCTTCTTGGGGTCAGAGTGCTTCCTGTTGCCTAAATGCAGGGTTCTTCTAAATGCAGGGTTCTTCTGATGGCATGTGTTTGGTTTGTAGGGGAGCTCACATCGATGTGCGGAACAAGAAGGGTAATACTCCCCTGTGGCTGGCAGCAAATGGGGGGCATCTTGATGTGGTCCAGCTGCTGGTCCAGGCTGGAGCTGACGTGGATGCAGCTGATAACAGGAAAATAACTCCTCTCATGGCAGCCTTCCGAAAGGTAGGTGGTGGAGTTCAGCTTTTCTCTTAGCTGGGATTGTCCTGTTCATCCCTACATAGCTGTTAGAAATAGAGCATACTGACAGAAGCTACATATTTAATAATATCTCAGTTAATTTGAATATTTGGCATTGAATCTTCAGAAACAAGTACATGTGTCACCTGTGTAATGCCTGTATTCAATTCTAATTGCAATTTGCTTTATAGGCAGTGAAGTGAGTCTGGTTCTGGTGTGTGGGGGGTGAAATTTGCAGGGTTTCTGTGTGATAGAAGTGGGGGGAAATAGGATTGGTTCCTTAAGCGAGAGAGGGTGAGGACTTTGGTCAAAAAAAGTGCAGTTCAGCCTGATTTGAGTCTACAGATGGTTTCTGTTAGTAAGGGAGTGTGGTTGAGGTGATGCAGTACTGGAAACATTGCAGATGACTGTAGAAGCCTGTAGGTGTTAAGCTGTTAGAGATGGGCATCTGAAAACTGCCCTAAAAAGGCAGAAGTTTTTCAAGTACTTCTGGAGTAAGGGCAGCCTGATGAGAGGTAATTACTTGCCTTCTCTGGTGGCAGAAATGTGCCTCACTCGTTCAGAAGGTGAGAAAGATCTCAGAAAAAGCATTGAGAGTTTCATGTGGTGAGGGGTTGGAAATCAATCTTTTGCAAGGAGTGCTGGGCTGAAGTGTTTCTCAGTAAGGCAGAGGCAGCTGGTGTGATGGAAAGGGCTGTCCTTGCACTGTGTTTTGCAGGGCCATGTGAAAGTAGTGCGTTACCTGGTGAAAGAGGTGAACCAGTTCCCCTCAGACTCGGAGTGCATGAGATACATTGCAACCATCACTGATAAGGTAAGCTGGGGGCAAGGAAACACTTGACAAGGAACAGTACTGTGTCTCAGCCTCAGAGACAGTGATCTGACCTCTCTTCAGCTCATTGGCCACCAGCTTTCAGCCACAACACGAGTCCCATTGGAATTTTTGGGGAAAAGCAGCAGGAAATGAGAACACTGGCACTTTGTTCTCAATGCACTTTGTCATTTCAGGAGATGCTGAAGAAGTGCCACCTGTGCATGGAGTCAATTGTTCAAGCCAAAGATAGACAGGCTGCAGAGGCCAACAAAAATGCAAGCATTCTTCTAGAGGAACTGGACTTGGAGAAGGCAAGTGCAAAGAGTTGCAGCTGGGAATATTTCTCTCTTAAAATTCCTATTTCATGTTCCTTCATGATGATAAGGTCGGTAAAAGTATTTATTGGGATACAGGAGTGTGTGTAATGACCATAATTGGAGTGTCCAGAGCTGAGCATCTTGCTGTTCAGGTCATCTTTGGACTTTGCTGTTGTTCAGAGTAATTGGATCAGGAAATGCCAATATAACTATTTCCTCTGTACCAAAATAAGGATTTCTGAATGTGATTTGTCAAAAAAATGAATGTGGCATTTTCTAGTCACACTCATACGGATTTTAGGTCTAAACCACATTTGGTGTCCTAAATATTAAAAAATTTAACTAATTTACTAAAAGCCATGGTACTGTAATAGAAGTAAAACAGAGAAATCAAAGGAAATAAAAAGCATTTGGATTTCTTGAAATGCATGGCACATCTTGTAATGCTGTTCCATGTGCTTAACTTGTAGTTAAGGGAAGAAAGCAGGAGACTGGCTCTGGCTGCCAAAAGAGAGAAGAGAAAAGAGAAAAGGAGGAAGAAAAAAGAGGAACAAAGGCGAAAACTAGAAGAAATAGAAGCAAAAAATAAAGAGAATTTCGAACTCCAAGCTGCTCAGGAGAAGGAGAAGTTAAAAGCTGAAGGTGATTACTGCAATTATTCCAAGGAAAGAATGAAATTCGGTATGAGCTGGTATGACATCTGTAATAGATTTATGGATGTCTCATAGTCAAGGGTTTTGTGTGTTTCTTGGAGCTTTGTAAAAAAATTTAGTCCTAAAGTTTTTTAATAGGACAGGTGTGATTTGGAAAGCAAAACACTCAGGTTTCCTCAAACCAGTTAAGTTACTCCTGCTTTTTCTTTCCTCTTGTATCAGATGATCCCGAGGTCCCAATGGAGCCTCCCAGTGCTACCACCACCACTACCATAGGTATATCTGCAACCTGGACAACGTTAGCAGGCTCTCATGGGAAGAGGAATAACACCATCACCACCACGAGCTCCAAGAGGAAAAACAGGAAAAACAAAGTAACCCCTGATAATGTTCAGATTATATTTGATGATCAGCTTCCCATATCCTATAGCCAGCCTGAGAAGGTGAATGGGGAATCCAAGAGCAGCAGCACTAGTGAGAGTGGTGACAGTGACAATATGAGGATCTCCAGCTGCAGCGATGAGAGCAGCAATAGCAACAGCAGCCACAAGAGTGACAATCATTCCTCCACAGCTGTCTCCAACACACAGAGCAACAAAAAGCAACCGTCGGTGCTCGTCACTTGTCCAAAGGATGAGAGGAAAGCAGTGCCTGGCAAGTCATCCATCAAGTGAGTTCCTGTGACCACAGATGCAAAGTGCGAGTCATCCTTTTTTCCTCCCCCACATAATGACAGCATTTAATTCCTTTTGCAGGTTGTCTGAAGTTATTAATGAAGTGACAAGTAATTCCTTGTCTACTTGCACAAAATCCGCTCCTTCTCCCCTTTCTTCTCCAAACGGAAAGCTAACCATTGCTAGTCCTAAACGTGGTCAGAAAAGGGAAGAAGGCTGGAAGGAAGTTGTGAGAAGGTAAGCAAAATAATTCCCCTAATCCCCTTTGGTGCTGTCTTTGTGTGGCCTTCCTTGGAGTTACTGAATGGCCTTCTTAGTGGGTTTGAGCTGCTGCTGCCTAAGTTGAATTAGAAAATACAGTGTTCTTTTGGCCACCTTGCCCACAGCTTTCTGCTATGCAAGTGTTTCCTACTTAATATTGTTTCTGTTTTTGTGTAGATCCAAGAAGGTTTCTGTCCCATCAACTGTGATTTCCAGAGTTATTGGTAGAGGAGGGTGTAACATCAACGCGATCCGTGAGTGCACGGGAGCACACATAGACATTGACAAACAGAAGGATAAAACTGGAGACCGAATCATCACCATAAGGTGGGTGAGCAGGATCCTGCATTGGCTCTGTCTTGTGGGTATTTTCTCCTTTTAGAAAGTTGGTCTGCATAGGAAAATTAAAGGCTTGATCTGGTTGTTCCTTGGAACATCCCTTGAAAGCAGGGGAGAGGAAAGGGGTGGGGAAACAGTACAAGCAGCAGCAGGTACAGAAGACGGCTTGTGAGAAAATACATGTTGGGATTCTGTGTTTGTGCTTGTTAATACATGGTGAAATATGAAAGAATATTTAGGGAAGCAGATATTTTATCCATTTTTGGGATTTGGAGTATTTTAAACTTAATTTCTTGAGGAATTGTCTTCAGCAGGACTGTGCTAGGCTCAATTTTTGAATAGAGAGTTATTTTCCTGTTTGTGTTAGGGTGATAGAAGACAGGCTGGATCCTGTGTGGGAGGGCTTTGTGTATAATGTGTGTAAATACTTTGGATGCACTTTTCCCTGTCCTTCCTTTCGGTAGGGGTGGCACAGAATCAACCAGACAGGCCACGCAGTTGATCAATGCTCTTATCAAGGATCCAGACAAGGAAATCGATGAACTTATTCCAAAGAACCGTTTGAAAAGCTCAACTGTAAACTCCAAGATGGGGTCCTCGACACCTGCCGCCACTACAGCTGCTAACAGTTCTCTCGTGGGCATCAAAGTGACCACCGTAGCTGCTTCGTCGACATCTCAGACGGCCTCTGCGCTCACCGTGCCTGCAATCTCCTCGGCATCCACTCACAAGGGCATCAAGAACCCCGTGAACAACGTGCGGCCCGGTTTCCAGGTCTCCCTCCCGCTGGCGTATCCTCCTCCGCAGTTTGCACACGCGCTCCTGGCCGCTCAGACGTTCCAGCAGATCCGTCCCCCGCGGCTGCCCATGACGCACTTCGGAGGCACCTTCCCGCCGGCCCAGTCCACGTGGGGCCCGTTCCCCGTCAGGCCGCTGAGCCCCGCCCGCGCGACCAACTCGCCCAAACCTCACATGGTGCCTCGCCACAGCGGCCAGAGCGGCGGCGGCGCTCAGGCCAACGCAGCCAGTTCTTTGACGACGAGCCCCACGGCCACGACGACTTCGGTGGCTTCTACTGTGCCTGGATCTTCGGCGAGTGGCAACCCGAGCTCCCCCTCGGTGAGGAGGCAGCTGTTCGTCACCGTGGTGAAGACGTCCAACGCCACCACCACCACTGTGACGACCACGGCGAGCAACACGAGCACGGCGCCCACCAACACCACGTATCCGACTCCTACTGCCAAAGAACACTACCCCGCATCCTCCCCCTCGTCTCCCTCTCCTCCCGCGCAGCCGGCGGGCGTCTCCAGGAGCAGTCCTCCCGACTGCGCCACGGCCGCCTCTCCCAACAAAGGCGCGCCTCCGTCCGAGCCGGACGCGGGGAGCCCGCCCGCCGTGGATGCGGGTGGCTCGACCGGCAGCAGGCAGCCCAATCCTGGGACCGGCAGCTCCTCCGTGCATCCTGCTCATCAGCAGCCCCCGGGAGCTCCTCTGCCCGAGGCCAGGCCCCCTCTCCAGCAACCTCAGGTTCCCCCACCAGATCCTCGCATGGTCGTGCCTCCGAGTTTAGCGGCGACGAGCTCATCCGCTCCGGTGGTCGGCGCGAGCGGCGCTCCCATGACCTACCCCGTGTCCCAGCCGGCCATGGGCTCGGCTCAGCCTGCAGCCAAGATGGAAACCCCAGCCATCAGACCGCCTGTCCACGGCGCCGGCAGCGTCCCCAAGAATCCAGCTCCCGTGCAGAACTCCCCCGTCGCAGTCCTCAACGTTAACCACATCAAAAGGCCCCACAGCGTTCCTTCTTCAGTGCAGCTTCCTTCTACCTTAAGTACACAAAGTGCTTCTCAGAATTCGGCCCACGCGGCGAACAAGCCCATGGGGAACAACTTCAGTGCTACCCTGCCTTTCGGGCCCTTCAGTACGTTGTTCGAGAACAGCCCCACGTCTGCTCATGCCTTCTGGGGCGGCTCCGTCGTTTCCTCTCAGACAACACCGGAGTCCATGCTCTCAGCTAAGTCCTCGTTTTTGCCAAATTCAGATCCGTTACATCAGTCTGATACTTCCAAAGCCCCGGGTTTTAGGCCACCGTTACAGAGGCCCGCTCCAAGTCCCTCAGGTAAGCCTCTGGCTTGTGTCCATTCCATAGTAATGCAGTTCATTCTTGTGTTGTTTAAGCCAAGTGGAGTTCATTTTAAGTGCCCTGTCAAATCTAGTAACTGTTTGGCAGTTGATGGGCTTGATATAAGAGGGTTTTTGCCATTCCAGTCTGCTCCTCTCCCAATAGCTGAGATGATAAAACACTCTTATTTCCACTCCCCTTCCCTACTAGATAGTGAGTGTTCCAGTTTGTGATACCTTGTCCTGAGACTGCAGAAAAATGGGCAGCATCTTCCAAGGTCTAGGGTGGTAAAAAAGTGAACTTGAACCTTACAGGCTGTGTCTTCTCTTAATTACTAAATTTGATCCAAAAAATGTAATTTCCTTGACTGCCTGCATTTTTTAGTAAGACATTTTGCTTTCTGCCCAAAACAGAAGCCAAGAGGTTGTCACAGAACCTGTTATGGCACTTCCAGAAAGTACAGAGATGGTTTGGACCATCTCTGCCTGTTTTTGTAGGAGCACTGAGGTGCTAATAGATTGAGAGATACAGTAGCACTTTATTTGCTATTTTGTGAATATGATGGTGCTTTAATTTTTTTACCTTGATGTGCTAGTCAGCATTTTGACTAGGGCCCTGTATGCCCCTAAGATATAGAAGTGCATAAGTCTGTGATCCCTAAGGTTTTTTTTTCCCTTTCTTCATTGAAGAGGACATGAAGGGAGCAATAATTCTTTTATTTGGGATATCATTCTCAATTTAGGTGTGCAGCACAACTGCCACACACTGAACAGACTTGCCCAGTGTGAAGCTTAATGCTCCAGTTGCCTTTGGAAAATTGTAACACATGCCCCTAAAGACGGGTGGGATAAAAGTTTTCCTTTCTATTTTCATGCTATCAGGGACCTCTTGCTGGAGTGTTGGAGTTGTGGGAGTCACTTGTGCCCATTTTCTCTCGTAGGTATTGTCAGTATGGATTCTCCCTATGCTTCTGTAACACCTTCTTCTACACACCTGGGGACCTTTGCCTCGAACCTGTCGGGAGGGCAGATCTACGCGCCCGGGACACCGCTGGGCGGCGCGCCTGCAGCTGCTAATTTCAACAGACAGCATTTTTCCCCTCTTAGTTTATTGCCTCCATGTTCATCAGCATCGAATGGTGAGTTCTGGTCAGCAGGGAGCTGCTGAGAAGCTGCTGTATAAATAAAATTGTCTGGCAGAACTGCATAAGGAGCTCCAGGATAAAATCCTTAGGGCAGGTTCTGGTTCCTTCTCTACTTTTGGCCCCTGTAGTTAGGAGTTTTTTGGACAGAAAACAAATAAGCTGTGGGGTGCTGGCTTATTTAGGGAACGTGTTAATGTATTTTATTGGCAAAAACAATGATAAACCCCAGGGAACAAATCAAAAAGAAGAAGAAAAAACAAACCCAACAAAGACAGGTTTATGTGGGCCTATTTCAGCTGTGATCCAGAATATAATCCTCAAATCCTCTGTTGCTGATAGGCAGTGATGCTTAGTTAAGGTTTTGTGGTGTGTGTCCTCCAGTGGCTGAGCTACCAGGGCATGGTAAGCATTTTATATAAGGGGCTAAATTGTGGTGAATATCTCTGTGCTCTGGAAATAAAACGATCCTGAGGTGGGTGAATGTGGCATTAACCAGCTCCCCTTGTCACTTGTTGGACATGGAGGGCAGGTTTTTAGGGTCTAGCTGCCATCACTAAGTGCTCCTGTTGCTCTCCTTGCAGAATCTCCTGCTCAGTCCGTGTCCTCTGGAGTACGAGCACCCTCTCCCACCCCTTCAGCAGTGTCCTTGGGATCAGAAAAGCCCAGTAACGTTTCTCAGGACAGAAAAGTTCCTGTTCCCATTGGGACTGAACGGTCTGCACGCATTAGACAAACTGGAACATCAACTCCTTCTGTAATTGGGAGCAACTTGGCTGCTCCGGTGGGCCACAGTGGGATCTGGTCCTTCGAAGGTATAGGTGGCAGTCAAGGTATGTGGGGTTATAGGAGCACTTGAGTTGATCCCACCATTGTGTTTGTCTTCAGCACAGCAGCGTGCTAAAGTGGGTGCCTGAAAACACAGAAATGTTCTTTCCAAAGGCTTTGGAACAAGGACTTCTCTTAGCCTTCCTGTCCACTTAATTGTTTTAACAAGGTTTCTGAAGCCCTGGGGGGTTCTGAAATGTCCTGGCTATGAAGATTTGGTACTCCCAAGTAGGAGCAGGAAAAATAAAAACAGGCCTTCCAGGCATGAACACAGTGAGGAACATGGAATTGAGGAAGAGGGGAAATGGAGGTGTCACAAGATAACTGTCTGGAGTTTCTTGTTGATAAAGAGGTTTTTTGTATGGTAGGAGTTAATATTTAATTTGTAGCTAAGGTAGAACTTTTTGTGCTGAGAATGGTGCTTTTATAAAGTGATAAAAATCCACATTTGGCTTTCCTTTATTCTTTTCAGCCGTCCACCTTCTACTAGCACAAGGCTCTTGACTCTCCTGGAGTCACATAGAATCTAGTATTTTGGATTTTATTAACAATTTCAGTTAGTGGTCTTACAGCTTTTCTTACTGAACCTGTCAGGAGTCTTGGATGAAATTTCTGGGAGACTGATTAACTTCTTCCATATTAATTGCGGGTTTTTTTTGTGGGAAGTTATATTTTTAATTTTTTTAGGGCTTTTTTGCTTGGGATGAGGGGTATGAATATTGAGGCTGTGTTGGATTGGACCTCTGGATGTCCTGTCAGCCTCCTGCACAAAATGGGGTTAGCCATGAGTTTTGCCTGTATTGCTCAAGGCTTTATCCAATCTGCTCTGGAAAACCTGCAGGGACTGGAACTGCTCCACCGTTCAGAACAATCTGTTCTGCTCCTTGACTGAGTCCAGACAACTGAAGGTTTTAATTGACTGACTGTGCTGGCATTTTTCCCCAAATACAAACTCTTTTTTTACTTCACTGATGGTCTTTTCCCAGATAAAGCTTTAGAAATTCACTAATTATTTGCCTTGTGTGGCTGTGAAAGTTATCTGTTGTACCTGTCTTGGCTTTTGGGATGCTGCTTTCTTTCTGCTTCGGTCAATGACTTCAACATTTTGATTTTCAGTTCACTTTGGGATTGGCTCTTCTCTACTTGAGTATTGGAGTGCCTCAGAAATGTTTCTGTACCCCTTCTCCAAATAATGTTTTTTTTATGTTTTGTTTTGAAAATTGGATTTTTTGAATGTCTTGAGTTTGAACTGTAGCACCAATACCAAGCTGCCTCTGATGAATTCACAGAATTAGGACATGAGCACATATCTGCAGCTGGTCCTTTCCTGGTTTTGGTTTGCACAGATACTTCTGTGTCCCTTTAGAATATGAAGTAATTAATGGAAGAATGGTAGTAAAGTAGAGCAAATAGTCTTCATAGTGTACATACCCTCTCCACAGCACCAAAGGCACGAGGAATTGAGGTTTTTGGAGGATCTGAGGTTTTTGGAGGAGGGAGAGTTAGCCCAAATTCCAGCTTTGCTGTTGAAATGGAGGAAAGTTGCAGGGGCAGCGCTCTGGTTGCAGGTAACTGTCCCAAACTCCTGGCAGCAGCTCAGGGCTCCTGGCCCTGCAGGTGGCACTCCTGGTGCTGTCCATCCGTCCATCTGTCCGTCCATCCACGCCGTGGGCTCCTGCGCTGTGGAGCGGGTGGGGGCTGAGCTCTGTGGGCTGGCAGGGGCAGGGGTGCCGTGGCTAACGCCGTGTCTCTGTGCTGCTGGCAGACAAAGTGGACTGGTGTCACAGCGGCATGGGCAGCCACATGATCCACAGGCCCATGTCCGACCCGGGCGTCTTCTCGCACCAAGCCATGGAGAGAGACAGCGCGGGCATCGTAGCGCCTTCCGGTACATTCCATCAGCCCGTCCCTGCAGGATACATGGACTTCCCAAAAGTCGGGGTAATGACCTCCTTGGCTCCTTTCTATCCTGCTGGCCATACAGTGGCATTCATTAAAGCATCCTGTGACTGTTCTTTTCCTTCCCCCCAGGGAATGCCTTTTTCTGTGTATGGGAACGCCATAATTCCTCCTGTAGCCCCCATCACAGATGGTACTGGAGGCCCCATCTTTAACGGGCCTCATGCTGCTGACCCATCTTGGAACTCGCTGATAAAGATGGTTTCAAATTCCACAGAAAACAATGGGCCTCAGACGGTAATTGCTCCCCTTTTTTGCACTGTGTATTTCACTCAAAATGTATCATAATTCCTGTCTGTGCAGTTAGGCATTTGGGAAGACAAATCTTGGGGCAAAATTTCATAGGAAAAGCCAGTTTATGTGCTGTTAGTTGAGCTTTCCCTTCCCGAGAAGGGGATGCAGCAACAGGGCTGCTGCTGGGCTCTGTAGTTGAGGATGTTGTGACTGCGTTAGGAGCCCCCCGAGGAAGGGAGTAAGTAGCTCTTTGCTGCTCTGATCTTGCCTGGCTTGCCTACTGAATATAATTTAGGTAGAGGGATTAATTCCCCTAAACCTCTTGTTCTTACTCAGGAACTAATACCGTAATGGAACATCAGTAGCTCTGGTTAGATTACATCCTGTGATTGTGTTTAATTGGACAGTGATCCCTGTTAGTGTTACTAAATAAAGATGTTTCTGGGCTGAATTTACTTGGGAATGATCCAAGCTGTGGGGAGCACTCCCAGCTCTGCTAGGCCATAGGTGTGAAGGAGAGGGGATTTGGCCACAGTTTAGGTATTGCTCTGAGGTGTCTTCTCATCCCTGCAAGGTGATTTCTGGTTTCATGAGGAAACTTTGCCCCCCAAAGAAAGCTTTACTGGGTTAGACCTGGGATTCCCCAGAGTTGAAAGTGTTAGGGGAAGGTAAGGTGGGAGGAATCAATTTGTTGTTTGTCTGAACTTATAGTCAAGAAGAGTGCACATCCCTTGCTCTGGGTGTGGAGGGATTTGGGAGCTGGGCTGAGCAATCATTTGCTGCACCCCCAGAGCCCTGTTCATGGTCCTGGCCAGGAGAAGTGTGACGCTGCAGCCCCTGTGAGCTGTGCCCTCCTGGAGCAGCCCAAAGCACGGTGCTAACCTGGGTTTCTCTTGCAGGTGTGGACTGGAACCTGGACACCTCACATGAACAGTGTGCATATGAACCAACTGGGCTGAGTGGGATCAACATGCTGGCCTTGAGATTCCTTTTTTTGCAGAGGAAACCACAATTGGCAGAAACAGTTTATGTGCTCCCAGATCATTCTACTGATGTGCTTGACTGAAGTGTGTAGGCTTTTTGCAGAAGAACTTACTAACTGACCTTTTTCTGTGAACATTGTGACCGCCCATTCCCCACCATCATATGTTTCAACTTAGTTAGACTTTCTTCTTTCCTTTCCTCCTCTTTTTTTTTTTTTTTTTTTTTGACATAACTTTCTGTTGAAGCTGTTCTTTGGCTGGTTGGTTTTAGTACTGTAAACTGCTTCTGAGCAAACACAGAAATTTAGCAAAATTATGTAAACTTGATCCTGAAGTTTTAGAATGGCAAATAAATGTACAATTGTTTACATAACAAATGGCTAAGCAGAAAGTAAATTTCAATATGTCAGTTATAGAGGCTCTACTTTATGTAGACTTAAATTAATGTGAGATATGTACCTTCATATTCAGAAATCTGGATGTTTCCTTCATACATTAAACTATTAATAAGCATAACTTTTCTACTTGTGTAATTTAAATAAGTGATAAAAAGAGAAACACCCCAGGCATTATCAGAGGGCCTTTTCCAAATGTGTGTTGGATTTTTTTGAGAAAACATACATTCTTTATTTGACATTTCAGGAGAGCTTCCTTGCTGAAGGCTCCAGAGGCAGGTCTCTTCCAGAATCAGGCCCATGTAGGTTTATTTGGAATAGTCCAAGTGGGAATTCCCATGTTCATTGTTAGGAGCTGTCACCTGTGGGCACAAGTAGCCGGAGATGAAGGAGGGTGGGTCCTGTGAGGCCGGGCTGGGGAGCAGTGACACAGGATCCCTGTACAGCTCCCTTAGAGAGCACTTAAAGGAGATCTACTGCTCAGATTTAGGAAGTATTATTTGGTTTTATTATGGTTCCTCCTTAGAAAACCAAGCAAACACCTCAGCTGGCCACAGAAACTACTGGCTTTCAACGATTGTGGTGGTATTTGAGGTGTCCCCAAAACTTTGGCATACCCAAGGCTGTATACCTGTCCTTAGGTGCTGCTCTGAATAAAAGCAAGTTCCTTTTTCCAGCAGTCTGATCTCCTTAAATACATCCTGTGAAGATCTGGTGCTAGCAAAATCGATCCCAGAGTGAGGAACTGCTCAGAAAAAGGTTTGAAACTCCATCTCACACCTTATCAGTGTGGGTGAGTGCCCTTCCTCTGTGCTGCTACAGTCATTTGCTACAGGCTTTAGTGCTGTTTAGGGTTACTAATTATTAATCCTACTGGGAAATAGTGCTCAGTATTTATTAGCACCATGAATTCCAGAGTATTTGTTGACCTGAGAGTTACATCCATGCCTGGAGCAGTAACAGGCCTGATACCACCACTGTGGCAGTGGGCTGGGCACAGGAGATCCTGGGTGGGTGGAATTGGACCATTTTTATTCCCAGATAGTTTTGGGTTTTTTTCCCCCGCAGTGTAATGCTTTTTCTTTGTCCAGTAAACCAAGCAATGCGCTCTTTTGGGAGCGGGCAGGTGCTGTTTATTTGGGGAAAGGGAGCAGAACCAGGGTTAGAACGGGAAGAGAACACAGTGCAGTGCATGGTCTAAGGGATGTTTTGACCTCTCCTTGCCGCAGAAAGGGGTAAGGAGACAGGTCAGAACCTGGCTGGGAAGGAGAACGTTCCTCATGTGGAATGATGAAGTGTTTGGTTATGATTAATTACTGTAGAATATCATCTTCAGGCTGAGAGGGTTGGGACTGTTCAGCCTGCAGAAGGGAAGGCTGTGTGAACTCCTCACTGCAGCGTTGCAGTATCTGAAGTGGCCCAAGAGGGACTCCTGTCAGGAACTGCAGTGATACGCCCACAAGTAATGGGTACAGTGGAAAAAGGGGAAATTTAGGCTAGCTATTGGGAGGAAGTATTTACTGGAAGAGAGGTGAGACAGTGACCCAACCCCGACAGGGCTCAAAGCCGGTTTGGACAACACTGCCAGTGCTACGGTGTGATCCCTGGGGATGCCCGGTGCAGGGCCAGCTGTTGGACTCCGTGGTTCCTTTCCAAGTCAGCACACACTCTGTGATGTGGCGGGAGGTGTCCCGGCCTGGGGCAGCCGGGTTCCGACCCAGCGCAGGGCGCGCCGTGAGGCGCTGCCCTCCCCGTGCCCTCAGCCGCCATGGGGCGGGGCGGCGCATGCGCCGCAGCGGAGGGGGCGGAGCCAGTCGGCATGTGGCGGCTCGTGCGGGCGGGCGCGCGGGCCCCGCCGGCCGTGGCGGCTCTGGCGGCGGCGGGAGCGGGGCCGGGGCCGGGCGGGCACGGCGGCACCGAGGGCTGGTACGAGTGGGCGGCAGGGTCCCCGCCCGTGCACTGGGCCGAGGGCGGGCTGGCGGCGCTGCAGGAGGCCACCGGGCTGCCCTGCTGGGCCGCCATCGCCGGCGGGGCCGCCTTGCTGCGCACCGCCGTGACCCTGCCCCTGGCCGCGCAGCAGGGGCGTCTGCTGGCTAAGGTGCGAGCGCTGAGGGGCTCTGAGGGAAGGACCGGTGGAGGGGCTGAGGGGGCCGCGGAATGAGCATCGCAATTCCTTTATTGCAGCGGGTTTGGGGGCGTTTGGGGGTTTTTTTAAAGGAATTTTTACGTTTTGTGCTTTTTTTGGTTGTAGAAGTGAGCATGTGTTGCACTCTCGTGTAATACGGTCTCTTATGCTGTGGGTGGTGACTTTGTTCACTGCCGAGTTGTGTCCTCATGGCCTTTAATGTATTACTCTTCATTTTATTAATATATGTATACAATTTACATATTTTATCATGTGCAACACAATATATTTGTAAAATACGTACAGTATATTGTAAATAATACATTCTATTATATTGTAGTGGTTTTGATTTGTTAATTTAAGATTTTTCTTAAGCAAATATGTATTTTCTATTATATATTTATATTTGTATATTATTATTAGTTGTTATAATTGTCCGTTTGTTTTTTTTTTTTTAACATTGAAGTGCCATTACAGCTGAGTCTTCTTAAGTGGAGTAGCTGATTACAAGTCCTGAATGCAGGCAAAAAGATGCTTGCTAAGAATTGCCCTGGTTTCAGCTGTAATAGAAATCACTTTTTTCTTTAAAAAGTACAAAATCTAAAAAGATTAAAATTCTGTGTTCATTTCATGTAGTAGTAAGAGAGTATTTTTGATTGTTACTGCAACTACTTGTCACTGTGACCTTTGTGTGGTTATTTTGTTTAAAGATGAAAGGTGTTCACTGATGTTGAGTGAGATGTTAACAAGATGCCTTGTCCCTCACAGGGGTTTCCTACCCCTACAGGTGTTAACTTACAGTGGTAATGAATACGTTTGATGCCTGTGCTGGTATTAAACCATAGAAGAGTAATAATTGTGTGTAATACGCATCGAGGTATTGAATTTTACAGTGGCAATGTGTATTAATTACTGTACATTATTAATACATATTAATTCCTGTACACTGTAAAAATTAAATTTTACAGTGATAATTAATAAGTGTAATACTTGTTCAGGTGTTGAGTTACCAGGGATAACTAACAACAGAGGGGAGAGAGGGAGGGAGTGTTACCTGCCATTTTGCCCAACCAGTTCTCCTTTTCTTTAGCTAGCTGGAAAACCTGCAGCCTGAGATTAAGGAGCTTGCCCAGCGCCTTCGCTATGAAGTTTCAGTGCGTGGAAAGCAGCTGGGCTGGTCTGAAAAGGTGGCCAGGTACGAGGGGGATTGCCCACACTTCCTGAATCTGTTCTGGAGTGGGGTGTGCGGGAAGGAAGATGCCACAAACAGCGCTTTGGCAGCAAGGTTCTGCCATGGCCCACAGCTTAGATTTTCTTTCCCCGCCTGCGGTTTATTTATTTATTTATTTATTTATTTATTTATTTATTCTGTTGCCTTTCAGCCTTTGTCCGTGTCAAAGCTCTGACTTGTGCTGTCCTCTCCCAAAGGTCCCACTTTGCCCGGAACATGCGGAGGATTGTCACGGAGCTCTACGTCCGGGACAACTGCCACCCCTTCAAGGCCACGCTGCTGCTGTGGGTGCAGGTGCCCATGTGGGTGTGCGTGTCCCTGGCTCTGCGCAACTGCAGCGTCGGTGCGCTGGGCTCTGAAGGTGGGCAAGTGCACTTGTGGAGGGTTTTGGGGTCAGAAAAAGGGCCCTGTCCCACAAATAGGTGCTGCACCTGGACACAAATCTTCTCTCACTGTCACCTCTTATCCACTTGCTGCCTTCACAGGCACCTTGTTGGTTAAAGGGCACAATGTCCCAAGCTTGGTGTACAAGCGGATATAAAAATCAGTCAGCTACTCAGGTTTTAAACCTAATATATAATAAATAATAAACCTAATAGTATAATAAACCTTAATTAATATAAATAATAAGTAATATTTGAAATGAGTTCTAAACTTAATGTAGTCTGACAGTCCTGCTTAGCAAATCATATTATACGTGCCACACCACACTCACTGTTAATCTGTATTTTTTCTCTTTCCATTCTCTTTCCATGTGAAATACTGTAGACAAGGTGAATGTGTGAGGGTCCTTTAAATTTAAAAAAAACAACTGATTTTTTAGACAAGAGTTTATACTTTGTTTTTTTAAGCAAAGATGGCTAGTTCTACAGCTACTAAGAAGAATATAGTTTTCTCAAAATCAGGAAATAAACACTGTAGGTTACTGCATTCCTGTTTTCCTCACTGACTTGTAAAATATTTGGGATTGAAGTATTTTTTTATTGCACATTTTCCTGTCTGTGGCTGTCATGAGCTAAGCCAGGTCTTGGCTTGTATCTCTCACTTTTCTTACTTATATTGGTAGCAGAGTGTTAAACCAAAGATTTTGGCTTTAATTGTACTTACCATGTGGATAAAACATACCTGGAAACGTTGGTCTCTGATTTAACTATGGTACAGTTCTGGCTCACTTGAGACAGCAAATTATACTGAATTTTGTATTTTCTTCAATTTTTTCCCTGTAGTGCAAGAACAGTTTTCCTCAGGTGGAGCACTGTGGTTCACAGACCTCACGGCGCCTGATTCCACGTGGATTTTGCCAGTGTTCCTGGGGCTGGTGAATTTGCTGGTGGTGGAGGTATGTTGGTGGGATATACCAGCAGCAGTGACTGCAGAGGGCTAACACGTGAAGGTGGCTGCAGATTGTCACTGCTTCAAATGCACTGGGCAGAAGTGAAACACAATCTCTTTGCTCTGTGTATTTTAATGTGTTAGGTGTTTTTGTTCAGAGGCCTCCAGGTCAGATGGGACATGCCTCAGAGCTACTTGAACTTCAGTAATATTTAGTCTTGACTGCAATTTCTTTGGAATGCTGCTCTAATGAGATTTCTGGGTGTTAATCTTCAGTACAGCCGTTTCAAAAAGAGTTTGTTTGTGACTGTGAGTTTCTGCCCTTTCAGATCTTTGCTTCCCAAACAAAAATGCCAGTTTCACGGATCCAGAGACTTGTCACCAACTTCTTCCGTGCGGTGTCCGTGGTGATGATCCCTATTGCTGCCACAGTGCCCTCTGTAAGTATCCAGGTGACCTCTGGGATGTCACCTGTGCCTGGGCTGTTCTGGTGCTTCAAGGACAGCCCGAAGGCCTCACGTGTTTCTTGTCTCTACTGCTGTGTGCTTAAGAAAAGTCACATGTTCTGTCTACGTGTGTGCTTAAATCTTGTTGCCTTTGGGATGTTTTTGTTCAAGGAGGAAGACTTTGCACACTTGAAGGGTGTTAATGTCCTCCATGTAGCTTGAAAAAGGAGAGGAAAGCTTTGTGTAAAGACACACAGACGAATGTTTGTTCACTGGAAACCAGTGTAGTTCTTAAATCAGGAAATTTTCCACATCTTCCTTTCTTCAAACACTTCTCATTTTTACCAGGTTTTGTTCTGCAGAGTGTTCTTAGTAAAAATAAAGTGTCTGGTTGTTTGGCTCAATTATAGTTTTAAATACAGAAGTTGAAGCAAGCTTAATATGAATTAAGAGCTGTCGAGCCTCAGTGTAGATGGCACTTTTCCCCAGAGGAGTTCAGAGACAGACAGTTACATTTCACATGGAAGCCATTATTGCAGATGAGAGCAGGAGGAGTGGTTTAGGTGAGTTATTTTAATCAATCCCTGGGAATAACCCACAGCTGTGGTTCAGGAGGAGCTGCCTGAGGCTGGTGCTTTGCTTGCCTCCAGGGAGCTGACGTGTGCCTGTGTTGTTGCAGTCCATGGCGCTCTACTGGCTGTCCTCGAGCCTGGTGGGGCTGTCCCACAACCTCCTGCTGCGCTCTCCCGCCTTCCGCCGCCTGTGCCGCATCCCCAGGACCCCGTCCCACTCGGACACGCCCTACAGGGACATGCTGGCTGCCTTGGCCACCAAGTACAGCTTCAGGAAACAGCACCTCTGAGCTCCAGGAGGAGCTGCCTCAGCAGTGAATCATGCTGTTCTAGTCAGATGTACTTATTTGCTGTATATTTATTTTCCAAATAAAATGCTGGCTGGCCACGAGGAAGGACTGGTCAGCAAAAATGTGTCTTTACTGGGAAGCTTTGTTTCAAGGGGGTCCTTTTGTTGCTGCAGTAGTCCAGAAATCTAGGTTGGTCTCCTGAATTATCATAAGAAATTGGCCAGGTGAGTGTTAAATAAAGCTGTGACTTATATACAGCGCCTCTCTTTTATTCTTAAGTCCTAAAGGTGAAAAGGTTTGGGTTTTTTTTGTTAAAAAGATCATGAATTAATTATTTACTTTAACTTTTTTAAAGATTCCAAGCTACTACTGTGATGTAAACTAACAAAAATTCAGAAGCAGAAATTTTTAATGCAGACTTGTAAACATTTATTTGAGTTGCTGCGATAATCTAGTGGAACTTTACAGATAGGGCTGACTAAAACCAGCAGTTTAGAAGAAAAAGTGCAGATGTCATTGGACTCACAACACTGCACTTTACCTGTAAGGATGTTTCACTGAGGTCTTCCACTGTTTTCACTGTTAGGAGTCTCAGAACATCAGTGATAGTTGTGTCTGAATGCTGCCAGGATGTTTTATACCAAAAAATACTCCCCAAAACAGGTGTGAAACGGAAGGCAAAGCAGCCAAAAGCATCTCATCTAATGGTGTCTAACAATTCAAAACCCACAGGTAAGGAGATGAGAAGGTATGTGATAAAGCCCTTTCCAGGTCTGCATTACAGGTAAGATAATGTTCTAGACTTTTAAAGGGTCTTTAAGGTTTCTCTGAATGAATATTGTCATTTTGCCTCATCTGAAGGTGTTGGGAAAAGACTATGGAAAGGGGAGTGAGTTTTTGTTTGGGAAGCTGGTTGTAGGGGGAGCTGGTGCTCCATGCAGTGCTAAGGAAAGTCAGCTCTCCTTCCTCAGCAGTCTCACCTGAGAGGGGCTCACATTCCCAGCCTGGGAACAGGGCAGGCTGGCAACAGCTATGTCTTGTGTGCAGTAAAAAAATAAAATTAAATTTTTTGGGAAGCATAAAGAGGGCTGTGAAACTGGTCACTGAAAAAAATGACTCGCAGCTCTGTCAGGACCCCATATGTTCAATGCAGGAAATGTTCAAATGCTGGCTTTGTTAGGTTTGCAGTTCTCCGTTTATGTTTGTTTTACACCATTTTAACCTTATAAAATTACACCCATTGTGAGATAAAAGAGAATAAGGTTTCTCCAGTGAGTGTATTTGGTGGTGGATTTATCACAGCATTATTTTAGTCTGGAAGAGGGTTGCTGGAACACTGCATGGACTTAGGAGGGAGCCTAAGCTTAAGAAACTGAAGTCAGGCAAGTCCAAGTTCCCTGAATGGGTTCTCTTCAGAAGTGCTGAAATATCCTGGCTGGGTGATACTTGTTTCATCCTCTGTCCTGAAGATGCAGTGTGAACTTGGAGAACTTGATGCTTGTTATCTTTGTGGTTGTGCCCTGCAAAAAGACATTGTTTACACAAAAGCTTACCTCTGTTCCCAGCCATAGTAATGACTCTGTTCCAATACATTGTCTGGCCTAAAATCCTTGTCTCAGTGTTAGATGCTCTTCCTAGGAAATAGGATTGGAGATTTGCTGTTTGCCTTTTTATGGTAATGCAGTTTTTTTGTTGTCAGTCCATGTTGATGAGACAAAGATGGAGCAACGATACATATAATGGTGTGTGTCAGGTCAAATGAGTGCTCCTTGACTGTGGAAGGGCTAAGGGAGGTTTCTGGAGAAGAAATCAGAAAAACCTGTTGCTGTGTTCTCTCACAAACCCAGCTGAAGTGTCTTAAAAAAGCCTGTACAATATTCTTTGTGAATGACCCTTTATTATTTAAGTAATGTGGTTTATAGCTCTGTTTTAACTGTGTCTCCACCTCTCCTGTTTGCTTCCTGTTCTGGCTTTGCTGGAAGCAAAGAGATTGTAGGCAAATGAGCAAAACCCAGTAGTGATAAAATAATTGTGGTTTTAGAAAGGAGGGCAGTTTCCTTCCTAGCTCCCCTCTGATTATTAGCCTGAAACACTGTAGGTGAGATGAGCTGGCCGCTGTCCCATTGAGGAATGAGATATCAGTATGATCCAACACCTTTTACAGGCTGGTGGAGGGATTACTGCTGTCTGCCAGAGAATTTGACACCTTGCCAGTCCACCTGGTGGTTCTTTGGGGTTGTTTTAGTGGGGAATCCAAACTCCTCATCCAAAGCTCAGTTACTAGGATGGATTCCTTGAAGTGCAAGAATTTTTTTTCCTGGACTGAGTGTCATTTTTGGCATGGTTCCATGGTTTCTGGAAAGTAAAAATCTGTAAAGTACTGTTGAGTGCATTGCTGTACACACGGGGGTGCTCCTGTTCATATCAGCTGCAGGGCTGCTGGGTTCTGACATCCAGGACAGGCAGGCAAGCATTGCACTAAAACTTTTGTCCTCCTCTCTTTCATCTTGGTGCTGTTTCAGAGCTTAATCAGGCTGTCCTTCACAGTGTACACTGCTTTTCCACCTCACTGCTGTGCCCCTTTGAAGTAACCCAGTGCTCAACACTGCTGAGTTGAAAATAATGGGAAGAACTCCTTGCTGCTCCCTCTTTGTGGCTGAGGATGCCCAAGGGAAGCAGGCAGATGTCTGGAGCAATCTGGTTGTCTTTGCAAAGCCCTCCAAAGTTTGTGCAGCCGTGTGGCCAGCTGCCAGCAGGATCCCTTTTTCACTTGGTGTTATTAACCTACCTATATTTAATTAATCTAACTGCTTTCTAATGGTAAATAAGGTATTCTCCATTCCTTAGAAGCTCAGCATAGTGCTAAAAAGCAACAGCAGCTGCTGCTTTCCTGAGTGAGGTGTTCTCTTCTATTTTCTGAGTTTCAGGGATCACAGAAAAATTCAGAATGAGGGATTAGTGCTTCACATCAATGGCACCTCGATGATTTTGATCCCTTTTTGCTGCACAAAACTGTAGTGTTATGGGCTTTGGGTTTGGGTAGGGATGTTTGAAGAAGCCTGTGTAAATTAGGTTCATCATTAAGGTGAGTGCACACATCCCTATGTTCCTTTATTTAAGGAGTTGAAGTCTGTTGATTCATTTGTCAAGGTATCTGTTCATAATTTGATTGCCCTAATTAACTTTGCAGTTGGAGTAATAGTAAGTAACTTTTTTTAGCCTATTTTACTTAATATAATCCCCTGCTTTTGTTTGAAAGTGGAAGAGACCACTACTGCCTTATTTGTAGGGACTCGGCTTCTGGAGGAAATCTTCCAGCTCCCATACTCAAATCCCTCATGAAAATAAGGGGGATTGTGCTGTGTGCTCTGAGGCTTAATATTACCTGGCCTTTTCAGGCCTGGGGAGAGGTAGGGAGGGCATTTCCCTGTGCCAAGTACCCTGCCTTCCTTCCTGCAGGGCAGTCACACTCCTGTGTTGACACTTGAGCAGTAGAAAGGTGGTTTTGGTATTTGCTGCTGAGAACAGCAGAGAATTTGGGATGCTGTCACAAGATTGACTTTGGCTTTAGGAGTCCAAGGCTCAAATGTGTGAAATGGAGGGGACAGAGAGGTTGGAAAGCCACTTGGAATATCAATGGCTACCACACAGGCAGTAATGGGAAGAATGTTAATTGGAAACAAATGCCAGCCTTCAACATCATCCACTCCTGAGGAAAAGGGCCCTGTGGATTCAGGAGTTTGGGGCTGAGTGTGTTTGTCTGGAGTGTTCTGGGGAGCTGGTGGTCAGGGGTGTGCGGTTGTTCCAGAGAGGGTGGAATGCCAGCCCGTGGTGAGTGATGGATCCTTGGAAGTGCAAGAGAAGGTGGTCTGTGGATTGTAGTTACAGTGTGCTCTTGGCAGGCAAGTAAAGCAAGCCAGGAAGTGCTTTTCCACTCTGGTGTTTTAAGACTACCTGAGATGGGCCAGGAATCTTCAGGCAGGGACCTGGTAAATTTAGAAATACTTAAATTTGAGCAGGACAGATCATCTGCTTGGCTTTAGGGCTGTGTTGGATTCCCATTTGTCCTTGTGTGTGCTTTTCACTTGGGAACATGTGTAGGAAAATGGTGAACTGTGAACCTTATCTGACAGGATAGCATTTAAAATACGGATTTCCTGGAAGTTTTGAAAGGCTGGATTTGATTTGAGAGGTCTGTTGGAGGTACCAGAACACTCAAGTGCAGTGATTTTCTTTCAGCACCTGAGGTTGAACAGAAAACTGACCTCTGTCCTGCTGACAGAGGTTTATCAGGCATATCTCAGAGCTGAGGGAGCTGCTGCAGGCAGAGAACACGTTCTTCTGGATGAATTCCTGACCTTGAGCCCTCTCTGTCTAGAAAATAAATGATAAAGTCTTCTACTGGGGGAAATCAGTTGCTTAGAAATGTAGCTAATAAAATATAAATAGTGGTGGTACTCTCTAGGCGTGTTATTTCTGCTTTGAGGAAGAACTGGAGATTGAAAGTTGGCAGACAGCAACTTTCTGGAGGTTTCGTATCAATGTAGCCTAAACCTTGTGGGTACAACTAAAGGGATTTTAGTTTAGGTTTAGTTTAGAACTCAAGTTCTTTGTGCGTTTTGTTAAAGTCCAGCTGGCCACATAATGAGAAAAGGTTTTTGGGTTTTTTTTTTTTGAAGGGTCTGTAAAGAGGTACTTGATACTCACTCAGCAGTTTGGAAATATTTCTGTTTCTTGTTTTTAGGACTTCCTTTAATGCATCGCCAGAGTTACAGTTGAGCACTAGGTCCTTATTAACTTTTGTAAGTGGAGAAGGTGCAGCTTTGTCAGAAGAGAAATGGGGAGGGACTGCAAGTGGGTCCATGGATTCCCAGGTGGGGCCATTTGCCTGGAGTCCCTGGTTTTCCTCTGTAATTGCTGTGCAGTCCATGGTTTTTATATCATTACTGCCTAAGTGCTTGCTCCAGAGTGTAACCAATAATTCTGTTGTATTTTACAAAGTAAACAAGCGCAGATTAATTTGCTAATAAAACTTTTGCTAGTCTTGCATTTTTCCACTTTATATGCTCTCTCTGGAAGGCTGAGAGATAAACTTTGTTTGGAGATATTTAAAGTCATGATTTCAG